CCCTGGTCAAAGTGCTCCCTGGTCAAGTGGTTCCTGGTCAAAAAAAGGTTTGGAACCATTGTTCTGGATAGTTATTTATTAAGTTATTTAAAAGAAAGGAAAACACATAGAAAACAAAGATCTGGGTATAATCCCATTTTATTATATTCATAAGCATTAGATGTTTCATCTCCCAGAGTTTTCCAATGATGTGAGGATTCTTCTCAGTTCATATCTCTTCACAGTCCAAAGATAAGAGTGGTGTTGTCACCATCTTTGGGTGAAATGTTGTTCTCCATAAAGTGAAGAGTTCCTCAATGTTTTTTAGTTTCATCATGTGGAAGCTTTTCTTTAGTTTTATGGGTTTTTTAAAAGGCTGGCTCGTTCTTGTCTCCTCTGTAGATTTTATTTGCGCCAGACAAAGGAGACCCAAAGCAGCCTTCTTGCTCTAGTGGCGATGTGAGCCTTTTTGGGTGGTCTGAACCAATTCCGCGCCTTGATCGTTGTGCATCATTCGCTTCAGGACTTTCTGTAAATCCTTAGTGCCAATGGTATTGGTAAGCTGGACTTTCTTGCAAGACTTGGCCTTGGTAGCCACATTGTTGGCAAACTTCCGTATAAAGGAAATCATCTTGCCCTTGGCCTTGGTTGATATGGGGATCTTATCTCGGTGCAGTTGGCGCAGCACTTTAGACACAAACTCATCGCCGGTGCGCTTCATAGCCTTCCTCGGAGCCTGCTTCAGAGCTTGTTTTGAAGCCGGCTTTGAAGCCTTTTTGGGTTGGCTCTTCATCTTCCGTGCTGGGGTCGCACGTTTTGCCATTACCTTTCTGCTCTTTGGCAGGTGTTTCTTCAGCGCTTTTTTCTTACGCATTGCCAGCTTTCTTCTTCTGGCAAGCTGCATTTTTTTCCTACGCATAGCCTGCTTTCTTCTTTTGAGAAGCTGCATCCTTCTCTTGCGTATTGTCTGCTTCCTTTTTTTGAGGAGTCGGGCCCTCCTCTTTGACTTACGCACAGCAGCCATTGTCCCAATTCTCTCCAAGTTACTTTAGCTCTTGTTTTCCACCTGAGAACACTGCGGGTGGTCCAATGTTGCTATGATGTAGCGAGTGCTTTGGTATAGGCTTGATCTCCATCCCACTGGTGGTCTGACCTTATAAGACCAAGTCTTATAAGTTCTGATGTCAGTGCTGGCATCCAATCAGATGCTGACACTTCATAATGTACATCTCTGACACTTCCCTTTCCCAAGGGACAGGATTGTGACATAACAATCACTCACTGGCATTGAATTAACCACCAGGCACAGTGTGCCAGGGGCTGTAATTTATTTATTTTATTTATTTATTTACAACGTTTGTATACCGCTTTTCTCACCCCGAAGGGGATTCAAAGCGGTTTCCACATAGGTAATGGCAAAATTCAATGCCAGCACAAACAATTACAATTATACAATTACAGTTAGACATGAATCAAATTAAAATACATCCATAAACAATAAAACAATCATTAAAACAGTAAAACAGTCTCATCCATCAAATCGCCGTTGCAGTCATTGTCTTTCCGAAATGCTGCATAGATTTGTTACTACTGCCTGAAGGCCTGGTCCCAAAACCATGTTTTTAATTTTTTCCTAATAGCCAGGAGGGAGGGAGCGGATCTTACCTCATTTGGGAGAGTGTTCCATAGGCGGGGGGCCACAGCCGGGAAGGCCCTGTCTCTCATCCCCGCCAGGCGCATTTGCGCTGTTGACGGGAGCGAGAGCAGGGCCTCCCCGGATGATCTTAGATTATGAGGTGGGACATAGGGGTAGATGCATTTGGACAAGTAAGCTGGGCCAGAACCGTATAGAGCTTTATAGGTCAAAACCAGCACTTTGAATTGGGCTCAGAGATGGATCGGCAGTTAGTGGAGCTGGCATAACAAGAGGGTGGTATGCTCCCTGTATGCCATCCCAGCCGTCGCCCATTGGACTAGCTGAAGTTTCCAAACTGTCTTTAAAGGCAGCCCCACGTAGAGCGCGTTGCAGTAATCTATTCAGGATGTAACCAGAGCGTGGACCACCGTGGCCAGATCAGACTTCCCAAGGTATGGGCGCAGCTGGTGCACAAGTTTTAACTGTGCAAAAGCTCCTCTGGCCACCACCGAAACCTGGGGTTCTAGGCTCAGCGATGAATCCAGGATCACTCCCAAGCTGCAAACCTGCGTCTTCAGGGGGAATGTAACCCCATCCAACACAGATTGTAACCCTATGCCCTGTTCGGCCTTTCGACTGACCAGGAGGACCTCTGTCTTGTCTGGATTCAATTTCAATTTGTTAGCCTTCATCCAGTCCGACACAGCGGCCAAGCACCGTTCAAGGTCTGGACAGCCTCCTTATTGACAGGTGGGAAGGAGTGACAGATTTGGACGTCATCTGCGTACAGATAACACCTTACTCCGAAACTCTGGATGATCTCCCCCAGCGGCTTCATGTAGATGTTAAATAACATCGGGGACAGTACTGAACCCTGAAGGACTCCACAAGACAATGGTTGTGGAGTCAAACAGGTGTCACCCAGTAACACCTTCTGAGACCGACCCTATTTATTCCCTATTGCTTAGTAACTGCTTCAGAACAACAATTTTACATTAAATTGGATTGTTTGGTTTATTTGCTTGTTGTTTATTGCATTGATATGTCACTTTAGGGACAAATTATACACATCTTTGTCATCTTATAGGGACATTAAATTGGCATGCCTACTTTACGAGGGGCGTTCATTAAAGATTTTGCCTGACCTGCTTCTATTTATCACAGGATGCTGAAACTCTATAGGTTATGTGCCAATTTACAACTCAGAACTGATAACGGTCTTGATTTTACAGGTGCTGAAGTGGTGTGAGGTTTAATAATGGACCCAGTGGAATACAGAGCAGTCATCAATCTCCTTTACTTGAAAGGCCGCACACCAAAGGAGACGTTCGATGAGATGGAAGAGGTTTATGGTGATGATTCCCCATCATATGATGTAGTCAAGGACTGGCATTATCAATTCAAATGTGGTCAGACTCCGGTGCAAACAGGTCCAATTCCAGGGCAACCCCACTCTGTTATTGATGAACACACCATCCAGCAAGTGGAGGTCGCCATTTTGGAAAATTGCCATGTAGCAATACGCCACATAGCCCAAAATGTCAAGATGAGTGTGGGGTCCGTGGAAAAAAATCATCCAAGACCATCCTCACATGCATAAGGTATCCACTCGCTGGGTCCCCCAGCTGCTCACACTTTTCCAGAAGCAGGAACGAGTCGAATGTTCTCAGGCTCTATTAATGATGTCCCATGGAAACCAGGAGGACTTTTTCAACAGACTGCTCACACAGGATGAAAGCTGGGTCCATCACTATGATCCTGAGACTAAAGCCCAGTCGATGCAATGGAAGCATCATGAGTCAGTGCCTCCAAAGAAGGCACATGCCCAATTCTCGGCAGGCAAGGTCATGCTCACGGTATTTTGTGACCAGCACAGAGTAGTATTGATGGATTTCCTAGCAAAGGGTACCATGATCACTGGGGCATACTATGCTTCACTGCTACAGGCATTGCGGGAGACCATCAAAGCCAAGAGACGTGGCATGTTTAACAGCGGGGTGTGCCTTCTGCAAGACAATGGACCAGTTCACAACTCACCTGTTACCCCAATGAGAACATGCTCCTGTGGCTTTGAAGTCCTACCACATCCCCATTATTCACCTGACCTTGCACTATCGGACTTCCACCTCTTTCCAACAATTAAGTTATTTTTGAAGGGCAGGCATTTTTCAGATGGTGAGACTCTGATTTTTGAAGTCACAACGTGGCTTTTGGAGCAACCTGTCAACTTCTACAAGCGAGGTGTTTACAGTTGCTTTAAAAAAATGGGAGAAGTGTGTGTCCCTAGGTGGCACCTATGGAGAGAAGGACTCATAACTGGGCCAAGTCTCATTGCTCTCAGTCCAGAGGAAGTGGATCAGGGGAAATCTTTAATGAACGCTCCTCATATTTTGTGAAGTCTTGACTCTGCCTCTGCTTTAGTTACCCCTGTTTATAGGCCTTCCCAGTAGTGTAGATAACTTCCTTTGTATTAGTTTTTGGGTGAAGCTTAAAATCCCACAGAGGGCAATCTTAGTTGGTCTATTCCATTTCCCTGCACAAAGCACTTTGCTGGACTTCTTAATACAGGAGAGCTATAGTGAACTAGAGGCTTGGATATTGTATTGTCGAAGGCTTTCATGGCTGGAATCACTAGGTTCTTGTGGGTTTTTTCGGGCTATAGGGCCATGTTCTAGAGGCATTTCTCCTGACGTTTCGCCTGCATCTATGGCAAGCATCCTCAGAGGTAGTGAGGTCTGTTGGAAATAGGAAAATGGATTTATATATCTGATATATAAACCCATTATCAGATATATAAACCCATTTTCCTATTTCCAACAGACCTCACTACCTCTGAGGATGCTTGCCATAGATGCAGGCGAAACGTCAGGAGAAAAATTGCCTCCAGAACATGGCCCTATAGCCCAAAAAACCTACAAGAACCTGGCTTGGATATTGTCTGGAATTCTGGGCCTAGCAATCCAAAACAGGCATTCTTAGCACCTTCTCCTGCTGCTGCACTTAGCAGTATTTTATACCAGCAGTCCAAAGAACAACTGAAGCTTTTGTCCAGCCTAAGCTTCACAGGAAAGAAGATTAAGACCATTTATAACCATTGCTTGCACCAGAGGCAAGAGAGATTTTCAAAAACCCCAGAAGGATGACTGCAACCAGCAAATTCTCCCTTTGTAATGTCTTGTTTAATTCCTACCGGCTGTTAGGAATTGTGGGAGTTGTAGTCCAAAACACCTGGAGGGCCCAAGTTTGCCCATACCTGCTGCAGATGCACCTTAAGCCTTGCATCAAAAGCAGCTTCCTGCTCTGAGCCTCTTCCTTTCCTCCTCCCTGGATCTCCTGCTCCGGATTGGCTGTCCCTAAACACTCACTCTGCCTTGATCCCGCCCCTTCCTGTGCTGCTTGGCTCCCCAAACCGGGCTGCAACAGAGTGTCTTTCCATCCCGGATGTGGTCTTCTAGGGGGAGAGATCAGCCCAAGCCATGAATCACACGGTGGCATGAAGCAGGCTTGGATCTTTGGCCGGTGAACCCGTGTCATGGGTATCGTCTGCATCCTCTGACACGTGTAGGATCCAGGAGCAAGGGGGACGCGCCTCTCCAAGCTTGGCTTTGTAAGGACAACTCTTTTTAACCTCCTCTTTACTCTCTCCACTGTAGAATGAATGGAGTTTGACAGCACTTGTCTCTGCTGGGTGCCTATGGGATCTTGAGAGTATTAGTTTGACATGGTCTCTAGCCTTCTCTACCAAAGAGTGCTGGTTCCCCACCATACTACAAAGCCTATAATTCCATTGCAGTGGAAGTGGTGTCAACCCACATTAATTCCACAGTGTAGATGCACCCTTCCGTGATCCCATACTACAGATCGACCATCCCTTTTCCAGGATCTATGGGCCCTTCCACACAGCCTTATATACCAGAATACCAAGGCAGAAAATCCCACATTATCTAAGTGTGGACTCAGATACTTACTTACTTACTTACTTACTTACTTAGGTGATCCCTTGTTGTCTGAGTAGGATTGTCTTCCAAGATCGGTGTATTGGCAGTGGGTACGTAGGTGACTGTGGAGCTCTATTCTTGACCTGCATGTTCTCCCGCAGTGAGGGCATTGGTTTCTAGTTAGAAGGCAGTCCCAGTCAGGGTTGGCACGTTTCTTCCTTTTACCTTCCATTAGTGCCTCTTTGAATTCTGCAGCACTGCTGGTCACAGCTGACCTCCAGTTAGAGCACTCAAGGGCCAGGGCTTCCCAGTTCTCGGTGTCTATGCTACAATTTTTAAGGTTAGCATTAAGCCCATCTTTGAATGTCTTTTCCTGCCCACCAACATTCCATTTTCTGTTCTTGAGTTCGGAATAGAGTAACTGCTTTGGGAGACAGCGATGGGGCATTCGGACAGTCCAGTGGAGTTGGTGGCGGAGGAGCATCATTTACATGCTGGTGGTCTTTGCTTCTTCCAGCACGCTGATGTTTGTCCGCCTGTCTTCCCAAGAGATTTGCAGGATTTTTCAGAGACAGCGCTGATGGAATCGTTCCAGGAGTTGCATGTGACGTCTGTAAACAGTCCACGTCTCACAGGCATATAGCAGGGTTAGGAGGACAATGGCTTTATAAACAAGCAAGTAAGTAAGTACTTACTTATAAACAAGTACCTTGGTATCCCTACGGATGTCCCAGTCCTCAAACACTCTCTGCTTCATTCGGAAAAATGCTGCACTCACAGAGCTCAGGCAGTGTTGTATTTCAGTGTCAGTGTTGACTTTTGTGGAGAGGTAGCTACCAAGGTAGCGGAAATAGTCAACATTTTCTAATATTACACCATTAAGCTGTATCTCTGGCATTGGAGAGGGATTGGCTGATGACTGCTGAAAAAGCACTTTGGTTTTCTCAATGTTTAATGAGAGCCCGAGCTTCTTGTATGCTTCTGCAAAGGTGTTTAGAGTGGCTTGTAGGTCTTCTTCTGAATGCGCACAGACGACATCATCAGCATATTGGAGTTCTATAACAGATGTTGTTATTACCTTGGTTTTTGACTTTCAGTCTGCTGAGGTTAAATAGCTTGCCATCTGCCTGATAGATGATTTCCACTCTGGTGGGAAGCTTTCCGTCAACAAGATGAAGTATCATAGCAATGAAGATGGAAAATAAGGTTGGGGCAATAGCACATACCTGTATGACACCTGATTCCACCTTAAATGGGTCACTTTGGGAGCCATCTGCCATCATGTCATCATGGAGTGTAGATGCACCCTTCTGTGATCCCATACTAGAGATTGACCATCCCTTTTCCAGGATCTAAAATGCTCCAAAATTGTCTGGCCTGAAGTGTCTTAATTTTGCTGTTTCATTCTGATGGATTTTTCCATTACAAGTATGACAGGCATCCTCAGAGGCTGAGATCTCACAACCTCTGAGGATGCCTGACATAGATGCAGGCGAAACGTCAGGAGAGAAATGCTTCTGGAACATGGCCATACAGCCTGGAAAACACACAACAACCCAGTGATTCCGGCCATGAAAGCCTTTGACAATACAAGTTGGATATTCCTGAATTCTGGAATCCAAAATACTCAGAAAGTCAAAACCATCCACATGGGTGGCTGAAATAGAGTGCACCCTTTGTTGTAAAATGAATGTGGTTTGACAGCACTTTGATTGACGTGGTTTCACACAATGGAATTCTAAGATCGATCACTTGGTGAGACACTAGCACTCTTTGACAGAGAAGGATGAAGACCTTGTGAAACTACAACTCCCTTTCTTTTTTTTTGTCGTGTCAGGAGCGACTTGAGAAACTGCAAGTGGCTTCTGGTGTGAGAGAATTGGCCATCTGCAAGGACGTTGCCCAGGGGATGCCTGGATGATTTGATGTTTTTATCATCCTTGTGGGAGGCTTCTCTCATGTCCCCGCATGAGGAGCTGGAGCTGATAGAGGGAGCTCATCCACCTCTCCCCGGATTCGAACCTGCGACTTGTCAGTCTTCAGTCCTGCCGGCTCAGGGGTTTAACCCACTGTGCCACCGGGGGCTCCATTACAACTCCCATGATCCCACAACATTAAGCCATGGCAGTTAAATGGGTGTGAAACTAGCTCAGGCATGTGCCAACTTGGGCCCTGCGGGTGTTTTGGACTTCAACTCCCACAATCCGCTTAAGCAGCTGAGGGGAAAAGGAAGAAGCCTGGGGAATTCTGGGAGTTGAAGTCCAAAACACCTGCAGGGCCCAAGTTGGCCCATGGATGTCCTAACCCCAATGAATGTGGATAACTGACTGTAAAGGAAGCAATGCGCTACATACCTTTTAGTAAGAATTACAAAAGGGGTCCTAACTGGGTTGCCTGTCTTTTCCCAGCACGGTGGCTTTGAGATGATGGAGCATGTGCGCCAGGGCCGCCAACGGGCCTCAGAGACCATCCGCAAGCAGAAACGCAAGGAGCTGGACGCCAGGCGGGGCAAGTGCCGGATCCGTATCGGCAGCCACTTGGAGCAGTGGTGCCGGCTCAAAGAGCAGCTCGGGTTTTCCTTGCACTCCCAGCTGGCCAAGTACTTGCTTGACAGGTGAGAGGACCTGTGGCAGGTAAACCGAGAATTGCTACCTTTGCCTCAATCCAAAGTAGCATGTTGAACTACAGCACCAGCCTGTAACTAGCCAAATTAGTTGAGGAACATTGGAAGTTGTAGTCCAGCAACATCTGGAGGATCTGTAATTCCTATTCATAATTTCCATTTCTGCTTCTAAGAGAGAGGTTGGACTTGTGGAGTCCCCCAGTTGTTGTTAACAAAGACCAGTATTTTCTGTTGGTCATAGCGGTTCTGTATAGGAATTTTGACCCAATTCTATCATTGGTGAGGTTCAGAATGCTCTCTGATTTTAGGTCAACTATAAATCGCAGTAACTACAGGTCTCAAATGTCAAGGTTTATTTCTCCCAAACTGCATCTGTTTTCACATTTGGGCATATTGAGTATTCGTGCCAAGTTTGGTCCAGATCCTTCATTGTTTGAGGCCACAGTGCTCTCTGGATGTAGGTGAACTATAACTTCAAAACTCAAGGTCAATTCCCATCAAACCCTTCTAGTGTTTTCTGTTGGTCATGGGATTTCTGTGTGCAAAGTTTGGTTCAATTCCATCGTTGGTGGAGTTCTCTTTGAGTGTAGGTTAACTATAAATCCCAGCAACTACAACTCCCAAATGACAAAATCAATCTTTTTTTTAGTGATGGGTTACTCCTTGGGTTAGTAGGTGTCTTGTGGCTAAATTTGGCGGCGATTTGGGGAGCGGATTTTGAGTTTATGATGTCACTCAAAACGAACAGAGCATTTAGATAAATAGATAGATAGATAATTTCTGACTTTGTTTAGTATCTCCCTCGTTATGTTGTTAAACTAATTTGTATGCTCAAGCAATAACAATATTCTTAGCATTAACCAAATGCACTTCTAACCAAATGTTCTTTTTCCTCATCTCTGCCATTTCTCATATAGGTACAATTCGCCTAGCTCAGTGGTGAAAACAGGTAAGAGTCCTTTCAGATTATCTGGAATTTAACAGTGACCTTTGTTATTATTACTATTATTATTATTATTATTATTATTATTATTATTATTATTTGTACCCTGCCACCATCTCCCTGAACAATACATAGAACTGAAAACAAGAAAAAACATGAAATTATAATCGCCCACACATATAAAATCACATAACAAAATTAAAATGCATAAAACACAGTCATAACTGTGGATAAAACTAGTTATTTACGATAAACAAATCCAATTCCAGGGTGAAGCCAACACTAAACCTTCAGACCATCCTTTAAAATCTATTCAAGCTCAAAGGCTTATTTAAAAATCCATGTTTTTAAACTGGATCAGAAAGCGGCTAACGTAATCTCCCTAGAGAGCCGGGGGGCCACCACCGAGAAGTCCCTCTCATCCTCATCAACCATACTTGGGATGGTGGTGGCACCGAGAGAAGGGCTCCCTGGTGGATCTCAAAAGTATTATATTAAATTTGTTTAATTGTTACGTAGTTCTCAGAGTGATAGCATAAAATGGAAAGAAGGAAGATGAAGAAATCAAACAGCATCTTCCATATCATTTTTTTAAGCATCAAAGTTGGAGGAAGGGGAAGAGAAATGAAAAAATCAAATTTACCCTGGCATAAATCTGCAACGGAGCGACCCCAGATTTGGTACAAATGTTGTCTAGATATGTCCTGAGAATGCATCCACTCCATTTGGAAAGCCCACTTCTCACCATCTCTGTACCACTGCTACGTCTAGTTGTCCATGAATCTGCTTCTGAGCTCCTGGCTCTTGCAGGCACCTCTGCCGATGCTAACAAGAGACACAGCAAGAAAGATTGTCCCCCTCCTTCTTGCTGGCTCTGTTCTGGCATCAGCGGATGTGCCTGTGATGGCTAGGGGCTTGGATGGAGCTCCGTGGCTGCGTACAAGCAATGGCAGCAGTGCCACAAGGACAGTCCAACATCTTTCCATGCACTGATGAGCCCAATCGGATGAGAGGATTGGGCTGAATCTGACCAGTCTTCCCTGAAGGCATGGGACACTCCAGAGAATCCCCTAGCTTTGCTGAAAGACTGTTTAAATAAACAAAACACAAAGCCCATGATACCCACCAGAAGTTGCTGCTGCACACTATGGAGACAGCAAGCAATCAATTCTCAGCGCATCCTGGCTTTTGGGCTCATGTAGATAAGCCCTAAATCATATATAATTGATAATATACATTTTACTTGGAAATGTAATGTGTGACATTAAATTAAGCTATTTTGTACTAATATGTTCTTTGTTGTAATGTGCCTGCAAGTTATTTCTGGCTTATGGTGATCCTAAGGTGACATCACAAGATTTTCTAGGGCTGAGCGTGTGTGGCTCGCCCAAGATCACCTAGTGGGCTTCCATTATTTGAGCAGGAATTGAGCCCTGATCTCAAGTCATACGGAGCCCCCAGTGATGCAGCAGGTTAAAATGCTTAGCTGCTGAATTTGCTGACCAAAAGGTTGGCGGTTCAAATCCGGAGAGCAGGGTGAGCTCCCATTGTTAGACCCAGCTCCTGCCAACCTAGCAGTTCGAAAACATGCAAATGTGAGCAGATCAATAGGTACCACTCTGGCAGTCATGCCGGCCACATGACCTTGGAGGTGTCTACATACATGACTTAGAAATGAAGATGAACACCACCCCCCAGAGTCGGACACGACTAGACTTAATGTCAAGGGAAAACCTTTACCTACTCGAGTCATAGTCCAACACTCAGAACACTGCACCACACTGGCTCTCATCTGAAAATCCACTAATTTATCTGAAGGGAAAAGGGCGGCTCTTCTCTAGTTCTCCCTCTCCTTCTGAACTTAGCAGTTGGTAAGCCTCTTATTTGAGGTTTCACTGTCCATTGGGCTAAATCAATACTTATGGGGTTATAGAAGGATAGGGGTGGTGGAGAGACTCATTTGTGGAAATCTTGCTTTCTGTTGAAGTTTAGTTTACCAGTTCTCACACTGATTATATTCTCTCGCCCTCTCTGTCTCTCCCTTTTTCTTGTCCCAGGACAGGATGGCTCCAACATCACTCCCCATCCCTTTCCATCCGACGCACTGCAGCACCTTGTTGTCCTATCCCACAATCACAGCCAAGAGTGCGGCTTCATCCCTAACATGAAGTCTACTATCCCGGACCCCAAAAGCATCTCCGATGGCATGCTCTGGGAGTGCCTGGCTGGCCACACCTTCTCTTGGAAACCCCCCACCCCACAGACCTGCACAGCACCCCCCTGCAAAGCCACCTCTGGAGCAGACCGGGACAAGGAGAAGGAGAAGGAGGAAAAAGCCGTGAGTTCCCGACTCAGCCCCCCTCCCTCCCCAGCCATCCGACGCCGGCGTTCCCTCCGCAGGGCCGCAGCTGCCCATGCCTTTTCCTTAGCGCTTGCCTCTGACTCGCCATGTCCGGTGGATGCAGCAGAGCCATCTTCCAGAGAGGATGGGGAGGGCAATGCAGAAAGAGAGAAGACAGCGTGCATGTCTTCCAGCAGCAGAGAAGGCCTGGGCAAGGAAGCAGAACCACTGAGTGGCCACAGCATGGAGGAGACAGGTGAGGGGGCTGGCAGGGTTACAGGAGGAGGCAAAGGGATTGGAGAGGTCTTGCCTTGGGATGATGCCACATTGAATCCCAATAGTGGGATAAAAGTGGGATAAAAGTTAATAATAATAAGAAGAAGAAGGAGGAGGAGGATAAGGTAACACTTTGTTTATACTTGGCTGCCAATGTGTTGCCATTCTGACCTGACTTCAAATAAAATAGAGCTGGAGAAGAGTTAGCCCCCTAAGTGCAGCCTTAAGGCCAACTACAATATATACCAAGCGTGGGCAAACTTGTGCCCTCCAGGTGTTTTGGACTTCAACTCTCACAGTTCCTAACAGCCAGTAGGTACCGCTTCTGCGGTAAGGTAACGGCGCTCCATGCAGTCATACTGGCCACGTGACCTTGGCAATTCTTGGAAGAAATCTGAATCATTGATGTTTCAAAGCTCTGGTCAATAATTTATCTTTGAAATTAGGGCCAAATCATTTGGGAGTAGTCTGACTTGTGGTAGCACAGCAGGTTAAATCACTAGCTGCAGGAAATCTGCTGGCCGGAGGGTTAGCAGCAGTTCAAAGCCCTGAGTCAGAGTGAGTTCCCGGCTGTCAGCCCTACCTTCTGCCTACCTAGCAGTTTGAAAGCATGTAATGTGAGTAGATTAATAGGCAACCCCTCAGCAGGGAGGTAAAAGGGCACACCATGCAGACATGGAGAAGTTTATGGTCAACAGGAAAAATGGAAAAATGGAACAAGAGCACCTCCCATGGCCGCAGTTGAGCATCACCTCAAGATGCCAGAGATGGAAGGGAAAGGTGTATTGTATGTCGTCGTTGATTGAGGAAAAAAGGCATTGAATGTTTGTCTTATATATGTAAAACTGTAATTTGCTCTGAGTCCCTTCAAGAAGATAAAGTGAAATATAAATAAAGTATATTATTATTATTATTATTATTATTATTATTATTATTATTATTATTCAGTGCTAAGTCTAGTGATCTTCAATTTCAGTAAAAGCAGAAATGAACATTTTTGCTAGTGAATGAATAATTTATTGTGCCGGCAATAGGCCATGACATCAATTAATATACAACCTTTAAAAGTACAATAAGTACTTTCCAATATAAACATTAAAACTTATTCCATATACTGGCTCTAAAATTATAGTAGTAGTGACATGATAACAATAACAAATGTCTGATTTGTATCATCCCAAACTATCTCAATTTCCATTTCTAGTCTCCGCTGTGGACTTTACTAATTTGGTTCAGTTTTTTTGGGCTGCAACCACAAATGTGGCAGCGTTTAATGTTATATTTTGGGAATAATCTGCTAACAAGTCACAGATAACTGTGCTAAAGGAATGGGATATAATTTGCAATTGCAGTTAGGAATTTTTAACATAGAGTTACAGATTTGTAAGTATTTCACAAGTCATATGGATTTGCAGTCATGGCAAGAGTGTAAGAATACATAAGCCTCTTGCCTTGCTGTGCAGCAGCCACTGGAAACAATTGGAAGCCATAGACTGACATTTCCATCCTCCTATCAGCAATATCCTCCAGCAAAGGATCACCGCCTTGTCGGGGCGCTGGAGCTTGAGCACCTCAATGATGTCATGAGCGAAACCGTGAAGGGACACCCAAGACGGGACGGTTGTGGCAGAGAGGTCAGACCAAGCGTGATCCCTGGGGAAGGCAATAGCAAACCACTCCAGTATCCTTGCCAAGAAACTAAATGGACCAGTACAACCAGAGATATGTCGGTATGCCATTGGAAGATGGGACTCCCAGGTCGGAAGATGGCCAAAATGCTACTGGGGAGGAGCAGAGGATAAGTTCAACTAGCCCCAGATGTGATGACGCAGCTAGCTCAAAGCCGAAAGGAAGGCTAGCGGACGACGGTACTGGAGGTGAACGACGAATCCGATGCTCTAAAGATCAACACACCATAGGAACCTGGAATGTAAGATCTATGAGCCAGGGCAAATTGGATGTTGTTATTGGTGAGATGTCAAGACTAAAGATAGACATTCTGGGGGTCAGCGAACTGAAATGGACTGGAATGGGCCACTTCACATCAGATGACCACCAGATCTACTACTGCGGACAAGAGGAACATCGAAGAAATGGAGTAGCCTTCATAATTAATAAGAAATTAGCTAAAGCGGTGCTTGGATACAACCCAAAAAATGACAGAATGATCTCAATTCGAGTGCAAGGAAAGCCTTTCAACATTACAGTGATCCAAATATATGCCCCAACCACAGATGCTGAAGAAGCAGAAGTAGATCAGTTCTATGAGGATCTGCAGGACCTACTGGATAATACACCAAAAAGAGACATTATTTTCATTACAGGAGACTGGAATGCCAAGGTGGGAAGTCAAATGACAACAGGGATCACAGGCAAGCATGGTCTGGGAGAACAAAATGAAGCGGGACGCAGGCTGATAGAATTTTGCCAGGAAAACTCGCTGTGTATAACGAATACTCTCTTCCAACAATCTAAAAGACGGCTTTATACATGGACCTCACCAGATGGTCAACACCGAAATCAGATTGACTACATCCTTTGCAGCCAAAGGTGGCGGACATCCATCCAGTCGGTGAAAACAAGACCTGGGGCTGACTGTAGCACAGATCACGAACTTCTTATTGCCAAATTTAGAATAAAACTAAAGAGATCAGGGAAAATACACAGACCAGTTAGATATGATCTCACTAACATTCCTAGCGAATATACAGTGGAAGTGAAGAACAGATTTGAAGGACTAGATTTAGTAAATAGAGTCCCAGAAGAACTATGGACAGAAGTCCGCGACATTGTTCAGGAGGCGGCAACAAAGTACGTCCAAAGAAAAAAGAAAACCAAGAAGGCAAAATGGTTGTCTGCTGAGACACTGGAAGTAGCCCAAGAAAGGAGGAAAGCAAAAGGAAACAGGGATAAGGGGAGATATGCCCAGTTAAATGCGCAATTCCAGAGGTTAGCCAGAAGAGATAAGGAACTATTTTTAAATAAGCAATGCATGGAAGTGGAGGAAGACAACAGAATAGGAAGGACAAGAGACCTCTTCCAGAAAATTAGAAACATTGGAGGTAAATTTCAGGCAAAAATTGGTATGATAAGAAACAAAGATGGCAGGGACCTAACAGAAGCTGAAGAGATCAAGAGAAGGTGGCGAGACTATACAGAAGATCTGTATAGGAATGATAATAATATTGAGGATAGTTATGACGGTGTGGTGAATGAATTAGAGGAAGGATAATAATATTGAGGATAGTTTTGACGATGTGGTGAATGAATTAGAACCAGACATCCTGAGGAGTGAAGTTGAATGGGCTTAAGAAGCATTGCTAACAACAAGGCAGCAGGAGACGACGGGATCCCAGCTGAACTGTTTAAAATCTTAAAAGATGATGCTGTCAAGGTGATGCATGCCATTTGCCAGCAAATATGGAAAACACAAGAATGGCCATCAGACTGGAAAAAATCAACTTATATCCCCATACCAAAAAAGGGAAATGCGAAAGACTGCTCAAACTTCCGTACAGTGGCCCTTATTTCTCATGCCAGTAAGGTAATGCTCAAGATCCTACAAGGAAGACTCCAGCAATACATGGAGCGAGAGTTGCCAGATGTTCAAGCTGGGTTTAGAAAAGGCAGAGGAACGAGAGACCAGATTGCCAATATCCGCTGGATAATGGAGAAAGGCAGGGAGTTTCAGAAAAACATCTACTTCTGCTTCATTGACTATTCTAAAGCCTTTGACTGTGTGGATCATCATAAATTGTGGCAAGTTCTTAGTGGGATGGGCATCCCAAGCCACCTTGTCTCTCTCCTGAGGAATCTGTACAAGGACCAAGTAGCAACAGTCAGAACTGACCACGGAACAACAGACTGGTTCAAGATTGGGAAAGGCGTACGGCAAGGCTGCATCCTCTCACCCAACCTTTTTAACTTGTATGCAGAACACATCATGCGATGTGCGGGCTTGATGAATGCAAGGCTGGGGTGAAAATTGCTGCAAGATATTGTACACCTCAGATATGCAGATGACACCACTCTGATGGCCGAAAGCGAGGAGGAGCTGAGGAGCCTTCTAATCAAGGTGAAAGAAGAAAGCGCAAAAGCCGGGTTGCAGCTAAACGTCAAAAAAACCAAGATTATGGCAACAAGAATGATTGACAACTGGAAAATAGAGGGAGAAACCGTGGAGGCCGTGACAGACTTGTATTTCTAGGTGCAAAGATTACTGCAGATGCAGACTGTAGCCAGGAAATCAGAAGACGCTTACTTCTTGGGAGGAGAGCAATGTCCAGTCTCGATAAAATAGTGAAGAGTAGAGACATCAGAATGGCAACAAAGATCCGCCTAGTCAAAGCCATGGTATTCCCTGTAGTAACCTACGGATGTGAGAGCTGGACCTTAGGGAAGGCTGAGCGAAGGAAGATCGATGCTTTTGAGCTGTGGTGTTGGAGGAAAGTTCTGAGAGTGCCTTGGACTGCGAGAAGATCCAACCAGTCCATAGTTCAGGAAATAAAGCCCGACTGCTCACTGGAGGGAAGGATACTAGAGACAAAGATGAAGTACTTTGGCCACATCATGAGAAGACAGGAAAGCTTGGAGAGAATAATGATGCTGGGGAATGGAAAAAAGGAGGGGCCGACCAAGGGCAAGATGGATGGATGGCATCCTTCAAGTGACTGGACTGACCTTGAGGGAGCTGGGGGTGGTAACGGCCGACAGGGAGCTCTGGCGTAGGCTGGTCCATGAGGTCACGAAGAGTCGGAGACGACTGAACGAATGAACAACATCAGCAATATCCTATGCAAGAAGTAATTACAATAGGGATCCTACTTCTGATTGTCAGACTGCCTGTAGTTGGTGGGAAAGAGCTGGTCACCTCTTCTTTACAAAACATAAAATCCTATTGATCAGTCTGTGGCAATTCACCTTCAACTGATTTGTTTCATGGTTTCCCTTTCAGCCATTCCTGCTGAAGAAGTAATTCCAGGTAGAACAGAATCCCCAGGGCCTGAAAAGTAAGTTTATTCCCTGGTTGCTTTTTTTGGCTTTTTGAAAACCGTCTACAGATGTGGATAGCAAACTAGCTTGCTCTGTAGTGTATAGTAGTCATGTGCATTTGGGGATTACCTTGATCCGTTTCAAGTCCCGGCTTTCGGTGAAAGCTGTTTTCATCTGAGCCTACTGAAATCGGGAGATCAGATATTTGTTTTTTGTTTTCAGGGCTGAAAGATTAGTTTTCTTTCAGCCCATTATTTGGGGGCGGGGAGGGGGATTCACTCATGGACCCAAAGTGCCCGGGCCTGCATGTGCAGGCTTTGGGCCTACACACCTGAGACTTGTGCCAAGTAAGGAGTGCTCCTTACTAAGCACATGGCTGCAGCCACCCTGACACTTTGGACCTATGTACCCAGGCCTGGCAGGGCCTGTAGCCAAGCATCGAGTAAGGAGCACTCCTCACTTGGAGCTTGGCTGCAGGCCCTGCCAGGCCCGGGCACATAGGCCCAAAGCGCCAGGGTGCCTGCAGCCGAGTACCACGTAAGGAGCGCTCCTTGCTCGGCTGTAAGCCCTGCGGGGCCTGGATGTGTAGGCCCCAAATCTGCACCCATAGACCCAGGCGCTTTGGGCCTATGGGTGCAGGCTTTAGGCCTATGCATCCGGGACTGGCAGGGCCTGAAGCCAACGCCAAGTAAGGAGCTCGGCTGCAGGCCCTGCCAAGCCCAAGGTAATTGATCCGAAAAGCAGGCTTGGAGCCGGTACCCACTTCCACCTGCCTTTCGTATTGATTGCATTTTCGTTCCAGGAGAGGCCTTTCCATTTTGCATCATCCTAATGGATGGAACGAAATGGAAACACAAATCAAACGAATGGGACAAATTTCCAGCTCATGACTAGTGTGTAGTGATTTTAAATGTCACCCCAGCTATAGATCCCAGTTGTTTGCGATATAGCTTCCCTCTTAATTCGCTCAGGCTAATTGTTCTTCCTCTGAAGAGCTTCTAGGGTGGTTCCTGGCAAGGTGGAGGCTCCTTCTTTGGAGGCTTTTAAACAGAGGCTGGATGGCCATCTGTCAGGGGTGCTTTGAATGTGATGTTCCTGCTTCTTGGCAAGGGTTTGGACTGGATGGCCCATGAGGTCTCTTCCAACTCTTATCATTCTAAGAGTTTTTTAAACTTCCACTCTCCCTCAAGGTATATTCAGTAGCTGTAGGGGGTTCCTATGTCAGCAGGAAGTTGAAATTACTCAACTCTGAAGTTTAAAGGAACTATCTAATGTACTGTTTTGTCTTTTTCAACACCTTGGTAACTACTTTATTACCGTTCAGACTTAAATACAAGCCCGATTCACAATCCCACTGACATTTTCTTCCCCATTTGTTCAAGAGAAGAGTAGCCTCTGAATGTGTCTGGTCAGTGAGTGGCAAACCATCCTCTCCCAGCAAACTTGTTTTCTACTGCTCCAGAGACTAAGGCATGGAGCAATTGATTCAAATTGCTGAAAAAGATAATACACCTTTTCAACAATGGGATAGTCTGCCTCAGAATATGGTGGAATTGACTTCTATTTAGGTTCTTACGCAGAGTGTTCCAGGGCAGAATGTTCCACTGTGAAGGCTATTCAGCAGGGGAACTCTCTGCCCCAGAGTGTGGTAAAGGCCCCTTCTTTGGAGGCTTTTAAACAGAGGCTGGATGGCCATCTGTCAGGGGTGATCTGAATGCAATATTCCTGTTTCTTAGAGGGAGTTGGACTGGATGGCCCACAAGGTCTCTTCCAACTCAATTATTCTATGTTTGGAGTGCTTTGATTGTGTGTTCCTGCATGGCAGAATGGGGTTGGACCGGATGACCTTTGGGGTCTTTTCCAACTCTAAGATTCTGTGATTCTATGAATGTTTTTTTTTTAACTCTGCATCCCTTCCTCTCACTTTCTGGGACTCTTTTTAGCACTTCAGTTCCCCTGGAGGCGATGCCTGAGTCGCTACCAGACCAAACAGAGGAGCAAAGACAAGGAGGAGGGGAAGATGAAGAAGGAGATGAAGATGATTTGGCAGAGGAAGACAACCTGGCCTACGCAGATGACTTGCGAGATGAGAATTACTATCCTTCTCTAGAGAGGTACGGAGTTTATGGAAGAGGCTAGAGAAGGTTGGGAGTACAAGTCTTTTGGTAACAGTAAGTTATTACTAGAAAGGAGATTCCACCTGAACGTTAGGAAGAACTTCTTGGCCGTGAGAGCTGTTCAGCAGTGGAACTCTCTGCCCTGGAGTGTGGTGAAGGCTCCTTCTTTGGAGGCTTTGAAACAGAGGCTGGATAGCCATCTGTCGGTGGTGCTTTGAAAGTGATTTTCCTGCTTCTTGCCAGGGGGTTGGACTGGATGGCCAAGAGGTCTCTTCCAACTCTAGGATTCTATGAGATAACCATAGTTTTTCTACCTTCACTGTGCCCCTAAGCACCATGACAATGGAGGGACTACTCTACATGAAATACAGACCTGGATCAGGGGATTACAATTGCTATTGTAAGGAAACAATTTCCACCTTATGCCCCTACCTCTACCAAACACATGTAAAACAGATGGTGATAACCCTTGCTTGCTGTCACTTTGTAAATGCTACTCATTTTAGTTTTCGTCAATGCATCTGTTTCTCCAGGTGGATTAGGCTTTTATACACAAACATGTGTCCCATCTTGCTTTTTCTCATAGGGACTCCAAGCTGCAGCGGCACCACAAAGGCAGCAAGAGCCCTTCGAAAGAGGAGCAGCAGCAGCAACCCACGAGTGAAACGTGTCTTGCCAACCAGGGCCTTTCTGCAGACAAGATTGGCGAAGTGGGGTGAGAGGGCAAGCTTGGTGTCAATACGTGAGGAAGGCAGTGGGAGAAACAAAATCAGCTTTTGATAATAATAATAATCTATATAAATAAAAATGTAATGTTCGTTTGTGGGATTAACATAACTCAAAATCTACTGGATGAGTTGACACCAAATTTGGACACAAGACACCTATCAGGCCAATGAGTGACATCACTCTTAAAAACACTGAAAAATACAGCAGAAGGGACTTAAAAAGCAAAAAATCCCAAAAAATACATCACAACACATGCGCAAAACCACATATATAAACACAAACACACATATATACACACATATATGCATATACACACACAAAACACATACACAGAAAGGGGGAAGGAAGGAAGGAAGGAAGGAAGGAAGGAAGGAAGGAAGGAAGGAAGGAAGGAAGGAAGGAAGGAAGGAAGGAGAGAAGGAAGGAAGGAAGGAGGGAAGGAGAGAAAGGAAGGAAGGGTAGAGAAGGAAGGAAGGAGAGAAAGAGGGAGGGAAGGGGAGAAGGAAAGAAATAAAGGTAGAGAAGGAAGGAAGAAGAAAAAGAAATTAAAAAGTGAAAGAGGGAAGGAAGGAGAGAAGGAACAAAAGAGAGAAAGAGGGAGGGAGGAAAGGAAGGAAAGGGACACGGAAGGATGGAACCAAAGAGCAAATGAAACGAGAAAAGAAACAGGTAGAGAAGGAAGAAAGAAGAAGGGAAAGAAAAAAAGGGAAGGAAGGAAAGAGGGAGGAAAGGAAGAGAAAGAAAAAAGGAAAGAGGTAAGGAAGGTTGGCCACAGCAATGCGTGGCGGATACAGCTAGTAGTAGTAGTAGTAATAATAATAATAATAATAATAATAATAATAATAATAATGTTTATTATTTGAATGTGATTTTCCTGCTTCTTGGTAGGGGGTTGGACTGAATGGCTTACGCGATCTCTTCCAACTCTATTATTCTATGATTCTATATTCTGCCCTATCTCAGGGCGGATTACAGTACACATATACCACAAAGATTCAATCCCGTTATACAATTAACAAAGACAGACAGTATATAAACAAGTAAAGGCTTCCCATCTTTTTTCATCTCTGGCATTTGGAGGCTGTGCTCGACTCCAGCCATGGGGGTGCTGTCGCTCCATCTTACATGCCGAGGAGCTTTGTTGTCTTTAGACTTTCTCCCAATCAAATCACCAGCGTGTCCACATGGGCACCTTTTTTTACCTCCTCACCAAAGCGGTACCTATTTATCTACTCACATTACTTTTTTTGAACTGCTAGGTGAGCAGAATCTGGGCTGACGATTGGGAGCTCACCACAACCCAAACTTGAACTGTTGACCTTTCGATTGACAAGATTTTCTGCAGTTGATGGTTTAATCCGCTGTGCTAAAACCCGGCCCACAAAGAAGTAATAGTCCCACTCCATTCTGCTTTGGTTAGATCTCACTTGGAATATTCCATTTGGTTCTGGGCATCACAAACTGCAGCATGTTTAGAAAAGGGCAACTAAAATTTATTTATTTATTTGTTTGTTTGTTTGTTTAAAGCTTTTATATCCCCATCTTCTGTAACTCTGTAGAGGGACTCAGACCGGCTCACAGCAAGGATTCAATGTTAATAATACAGTCTAAAAACATCATACAATAACAAGTTAAAAAACATATAGATTAAAATTACAAAGAAGCCAAATCTCCAAGATGTCCAACTCAGTCCATATGTGTGGTTAATAATTTTGTTCTGTAGCCGGTCTCAACCATTACTCTGGGAATGCTTCCTTCCATAGCCAGGATTTCACCAGCCTCCTGAAGGATGGGAGGGGGCAGATCTGATCTCAATCGAGAGAGAGTTCCATAGCCGAGGGGCCACCACAGAAAAGGCCCTGTCTCTCATTCCCACCAGACGTGATTGTGAAAGTGGCAGGACTGAGAGCAGGGCTCCACCAGAAGATCTTAATAGTCTTGATGGTTCATAGGGGAGAATACGTTCGGACAGGTAAAATGGTAAAAGGTCTGGAAGCCAATCCCTATGAGGAATTATGCCATGCAGGAATACACAATCGGAACATTCCCAACAGATAGCCATCCAGCCTCTGTTTAAAGAGAGACTCCACAGAACTCCAAGGCAACATATTCCAATGACAAACATCTCTCATTCAGGAGAGGTTTTTTCATATTTCCATGGCTTTTCTCTGAAATATATAGCACCTGGTATTCCTTAAGGATCCATCATCCAAGTACTAACCTTTAGCTTCCAAGATGAGAAAGGATTTGCCACTTTTAGGGTATTTAGGCCCTGAGATAGTAACCAAAAATAACACGTCCAAGCTCTATTCCCATTGTTATCATAACTGCAGGCAGAAAGCCCTTTTGGAGGAGAGGGTTTCCTTTGCTATATTCTTGACCAAACGTCTTTTCTTCCCGTACAGCTTAAAGAGGCGGATACAGCCTAATGACGAAGATGTGGCCCAGATTGGTCCAAAGCGAATCAGGTGGGCACCACTCCTTGTCATTTCGACCCAACAAGGCATTTTCATAACTGACCTTCCTAACAAAGCCAAGGCAATGGAAGAAAACAAGGGTACAAGACCTCTGAGTCTGAGCCTCACTAGGACTGGACACTAGCCAGTTGACCATGTATTTTTCCATAATAACACAATATTTATTTATTTATTTACAGTATTTATATTCCGCCCTTCTCACCCCGCAGGGGACTCAGAGCGGATTACAGTGTACATATACATGGCAAACATTGGATGCCATAGACACACAACATATATACAGAGCCTATTTAACATTCCAGCTTTTTCCAGCTTTTGGGGGGGGGGGGGGCAATGCCAGCTAGCTTATAGAGTCTTTCAACAGGTGTAGGTTTGAGACATCCTGTGATTATTCTACATGTCTCATTCAGTGCTATATTCACCTGTTTCACGTGGGCAGACTTGTGCCAAACAGGGCAGGCATACTTAACAGTTGAGTAAGACAAGGCCAGGGGCTGATGTTCTTATTAAATCTGGATCTGCACCCCATGCACTACGGATAAGTTTCCACAGGATGTTAGTGTGTGCATCTTCTTTGTGCTTGGTGTTCACCCAGTGTTTCCTAAATGTTAGTGTTCGATCTAAGGTGACACAGATTTTTCTCATGTTGTTAAAATAATTAATTAATTAATTAATTAATTACAGTAAGTCCCATTGGCTATCAATAACTATTAATGTCGTTGAGTGAGTATCTGTTGATATCAAAAATTAATTAATACTCACCCATTTTTGCTTTAGCAATACATGCTTTAAAAATACTTGATCAGCACTGGACAAATCTGACCAAATCTTTTTTTTTCCCTAAAGCGGTTCAGTGGCCAGCTCTAGACCAGTGTTTCTCAACCTGTGAGTCCCAGATGTTTTGGTCTTCAACTCCCAGAAATTCTAACAGCTGGTAAACTGGCTGGGATTTCTGAGAGTTGTAGGCCAAAATATCTGAAGACCCACAGGTTGAGAACATTTTCCCAGAGCTCTGCATGTTCAGTTCTGCATTGTTTACTGCCAAAGTATTGTTACATAGTATTATATGTTGTGATATTTGGGGTAGGAAATTTTAACTGTCTCTTTTCCTTTTCTTTCTTTCGTTTTTTTTCAGGAAGGCAGCTAAACGAGAGATTCTCCTTTGTGACTATGATGGCTGTGGGAAGATTTTCTCCAACCGGCAATACTTGAATGTAAGGAACAAAGTAGTGGCAAAAAGGAAATTTGAATGGTTACTGGGAGTTTTCTCCATCCTTAAGCAACTCTCCAATCCTCAACTTCCTTGGGAAAAAATAAATAAAAAGAATATGATTTTTATATGTAAAAATCTGGGAATCGCTTTAGTTGGTGTACTAGCCAAATGTACTTTGTTATTGTGTGCCTTCAAGTTGTTTCTCACCTTTGCCTACCCAAGGGTGCACCTATCATGTGGTCTGCTATTGCATTCCTCTGAGGCTGAGAGTGTGTGACTTTCCCAAGATCACCCAGTCAGGTTCCATGAATCATAGAATCCTAGAGTTGGAAGAGACCTCGTGGGCCATCCAGTCCAACCCCCTGCCAAGAAGCAGGAAAATTGCATTCAAAGCACCCCTGACAGATGGCCATCTAGCCTCTGTTTAAAAGGTTCCAAAGAAGGAGCCTCCACCACACTCCGGGGCAGAGAGTTCCACTGCTGAATGGCTTGCACAGTCAGGAAGTTCTTCCTAATGACCAAGTGAAGTTTCCAACTCTGGTCTCCAGAGTATTACTCCAACAGTTAAAACAAGATAGCCTTAGCTAGTACTTAAAAGGAATGGACTCTGAGAAATTAAGGTCAGAGAAATTAGTGTTAATTGTTCAGCTTGAACTGAACAATTTAGGCTGCAGTGCTGCAACGGGTTAAACCGCTAAGCTGTTGAACTGGCTGATTGGAAGGTTGGCGTTTGAATCTGCGGGAGGGGTGAGCTCCTGCTGTTAGCCCCAGCTTCTGCCAACCTAGCAGTTTGAAAACATGCAAATGTGAATAGATAAATAGGTACTGCCTCGGGGGAAAGTAAACAGCACTCCATCTAGACATTACCTAGGAGGTGTCTACGGACAACACAGGCTCTTTGGCTTAGAAATGGAAATGAGCACACCCACCTCCCAGAGCCGGAGATGAAAGGGGAATCCTTTACCTTTATCTGTGTATCTCCATGTTGTTGTTTTTAGGCATTGGATTTTTTCCTTTGTGTCTGTGTATGCTGGAATCCACCATGAGTCCCCTTGGGGAGATCGGGTGGAATACAAATAAAGTATTATTATTAGTATTAGTATTATTATTTCTTCCCCAGCACCACAAGAAATACCAGCATGTTCACCAAAAAACCTTCACCTGTTCAGACCCCAGCTGCGGCAAGTCCTTCAACTTCAAGAAACACCTCAAGGAACATGAGAAACTTCATAGTGGTGAGCATCCCAGGCCCTGGAGTCACATTCAAACCTTCTGAGCCTCTCATTTTGCCATGACCCCTTCTCTGGGCCGCCTTTCACAGCTTTTATACAGGTTTCCTCCCATTCTTACACCCAAAGAACTGGGCTGTAAGACACAAAATGTTTTGCTGAAATAAATTGGTTAAGTCTTAAAGGAGAAAACTCAATTTTCATTCCCTTTCCATTAATTTCTTTTGGTCGTGTCAGGAGCAACTTGAGAAACTGCAAGTCGCTTCTGGTGTGAGAGAATTGGCCATCTGGAAAGACGTTGCCCAGAAAACGCCCAGATGTTGTGATGCTTTAACATCCTTGTGGGAGGCTTCTCTCACGTCCCCGCATGAGGAGCTGGAGCTGATAGAGGGAGCTCAACAGACTAATACAATTACTATATGTAACAAAATTTGATTTTTTTTCTGTTCCTGGTTTGAAAGTGTTATTTCCTATTTAATTGTGCATTACGTACTTTGAAAGTAGTTGTTCTACTCCAGAAACTTGGTTTTTGTGGCTGCCACAAACTCTGTTGAATTGATTGAGACTCAATGAGATATTCACTGAAAAACAAAATGTGCTGCAGGATGTCCCACAAAAACAAAGTGCTTGCAGTTTAATAAACTTGTTTTTATGATAGAACCAATTAGGAAATGCTATTTATAACCCAGGAATGAAAATAATGTAATATAGTGTTATCTCTTTAAAGATGATTAAAAACAGGAGTTCTGACTTGAACATTTTGAAGAAAAAAATATTGTCATACTTTTGCCATGCAATCTGTTACTTCTAACTCAGAATAACCAGTGGGTTGACTTCTTTCCCCATCTCCCTGAACTTGCAGATAAACGTGACTACATCTGTGAGTTTTGTGCCCGCTCCTTCCGGACGAGCAGCAACTTGATCATCCACAGACGAATCCACACTGGAGAAAAACCTTTACAGTAAGTATTAGTCTCTATTGCACTCTAGGCCTGGAAACACCTGTGACCACTACCCCACACAAGAGTCCATAAATATAAGCAATTTATTGTACAAACATAGAAAAAAACATAGAAAAATCAGGAATAAGAAAGGAAGATATATAATCCAAAAAGGTTTAGCAACAAGTGATAATCCAACAATAATTCAAATGTCTCATCAAGTTCCAGAGGTGACAAAGTCCAAAAAGAGCCAAAAATCCCAGATACAGCATCAGTCCACAATAAAGAAGGTATAACTAATAAAACTTGAATGGGAATACAAGACCAGGAACAGAAAAAACTACAGTATATCTTAAATCCAACATCAAAGCTTTACTTGAACTAGGAACAAGAGAAATCAGGCTTAGCTTCTCACTCTAACGCAGCATTGCCTGAACTGACCTTAAGGTGAACAACTTGTTGTTTAATAGAAACACATGAAATCGTTCCATTTCCCATTAATTTCCTTCACAGCTTTCCCACGTAGTCCCTCTGAATGACACAATTTATTTTTAGCTCTGATTTGTAAACAAAGACTTTTGTTGATCTTCATAGCTACAGGTGGGTTCCCCTGGAAACCCTCCTTATCACTCAGCTCTTCTTGATTTCTTATCTGCTGTTGCTACTTCTGACTCCCACGAATGCCCTTGAAGCCCTGCACTTTCTGAGCCAGTTTTCTCATAGAGAGAACCATAATTTCCCAGACTTGAGAACCCATCACTTTGTGCCACAGGAAAGCTCACAATCCTTATTTATTTATTTATTTATTTATTTATTTTAAACATTTATATTCTTCCCTTCTCACCCCTAAGGCGACTCAAGGCGGAGCACTGGCAAACATTCAATGCCGGGTCACAAATTCTTCTATACATACATAAACATTAAAAACATTTATCAAAATATTAAAATACACCATTTAAAACCGTCCTAGTCATCCACGTCAAGTCTAATTGGCTTGGTAATATTTCCTATTGCTGCTTTATTGCCCTGTCCTGAAAACTTGGTCCCACAGCCAAGTTTTACCATCCTTCTCAAGGACAGGAGAGAGGGGGTCGACCTGATCTCACCAAGAAGGGGGTTCCATAGCCAGGGAGCAATCACCGATAAGGCCCTGTCTCTCGTCCCCACCAATCATGCCTGTGACAATGGTGGTACGGAAAGCAGGGCCTCTCCAGAGGATCTTAATCTCCACGATGGTTCATAGGGAAAGATGTGTTTGGACAGGTAATTTGGGCCAGGGCTGTTTAGGGCTTTATAGGCCAAAGCCAGCACTTTGAATTGTGCCCGGTAACAAACTAGCAGCCAGTGGAGCTGGTGCAACATGGGAGTTGTGTGCTCCCTGTATGACCCCCCAATTATTAACCTGGCTGCCTCTCGTTGGACTAGTTGAAGCTTCCGAGCAGTCAACAAAGGCAACCCCACGTAGAGTGCATTGCAGTAGTATATCCTAGATGTAACGAGACCACCGTGGCCAAGTTAAATTAAACCATCAGCCTCTGGTGGCTGATCTACAACAGTCTTCTCCTCAGCTCTTCCTAATCTTCATAAATATACAAGAGCCCCCTTTTATTTCATGGGTTAGGGACCAGATCACTGTTAGAAAATCGAATTGGTTGAAAAATGGAACCCAGGTTTTCATTAGCTAGCAAATTCAAGAATAAACACCAGATAGCCCCAGGTTAACTGAGAAAAAACTGTGTACTGAAAAAGCAGCCACATTGGTAAAAAGAGCAAACCGGGGGTTGAAAATGCAGAATATTCTGTCGAAACAGCAGAATGACCAAAAAACAGGGGATGCCTGCAGGAGAAACATGAATTTAAAATCATATCAAGATTAAAACATTATTTAAACCACGCAATCCAAGATCAATATGGTTAGGGGACTTTCAGGGTATCGTGAAGGGCTCCAGTCTCCTACTTTAACCTCCAGTGCCTCCTGTAAGGGTTCGGAGCACTTAAAAAAAGAAAATCAAACAGGTGGGCTGTGGAGCTACATGTGGTCCCCAGGCTGCAAATTCCCAACCTGTTCTTTACAAGTCTGCGTATCTACGCAGAAGGGGAAGGTTGGACCATGCATCTTTCACCCACCATTTATTTCATCCCTCAGTTGGGTGTAGTCAAGCCCCTCCTCCTTTTCTCCTTTGCAGATGTGAAATTTGTGGGTTCACCTGCCGCCAGAAAGCCTCCTTGAATTGGCACATGAAGAAGCACGACGCCGACTCCTTTTACCAATTCTCCTGCGACCTCTGTGGCAAGAAGTTTGAGAAGAAAGACAACGTCGCTGCTCACAAAAGCAAGAGCCACCCAGAAGCAGTGACTGGGCCTCCTCAGTCCATAATGGGCCAGCCACTGGCTATGGAGCAGGTCGAAAACTCTGGACGGGTCCCACCTAGAGACGTGCGGGAGAGGACAGGACACTCCCCCCTTGCCATCACAGTCATTATAGAATGACGGCTGGTCCAAATCAAGGGGAACGAGTGGCATGGGATTCCTGGCAAATCCCATTTGCAACAGAGAAGGGGTCTGGGGTCTTCCACCCGGCTAAAGTACCAGCAAGATGAAAACCGCCCAATTTGCAGAGTGGAACGGGTGTGAAGGCCATGATCCCCAAAGCACAGTCCCTCCAATCACATTCCTTCACTCAGCTCAGTCAGTCCCAGCATTGGAGAGATGTTTCTGCACTTATCTGACCTCATTTCTGGAGGCCTGTGCTTTGCCATGCTTCCATCCAGACTACAATGTGACTAAGGAGCTGCTTCTAGAGCAGGGATGTCAAACTCATTTTCATCGAGGGCCACATCAGTTTTTAAAGCAGTGTTTCTCAACCTAAGGATCGGTACCCCAGGAGGGGGGTCGCGAGTGTTTGTCAGAGGGGTTGCCAAAAACCATCAGGAAACATGGTATTTTCTGTTGGTCATGGGGGTTCTGTGTGGAAAATTTGGCCCAATTCTCTCATTGGTGGGGTTCAGAATGCTACTTGATTGTATGTGAACTATAAATCCCAGCAACTACAACTCCCACATGTCAAGGTCTATTTTCCCGAAACTCCACCAGTGTTCACATTTGGGCATATTAAGTATTTGTGCCAAGTTTAATCCAGTTCACAGTGCTCTCTGGGTGTATGTAAACTACAACTCCAAAAACTCAAGGTCAATGCCCACTATACCCTTCCAGTATTTTCTGTTGGTCACGGGAGTTCTTTTTTCCCAAGTTTGGTTCAATTCCATTGTTGCTGGAGTTCAGAATGCTTATTAATTATAGGTGAACTATAAATCCCAGCAACTACAAGTCCCAAATGACAAAATTAATCCCTTCCAGCCCCACCAATATTAATAAATGGGCGTATTGGTTATTTGTGCCTAATGTGATCCAGTGAATGAAAATGCATCCTGCATCTCAGATATTTACATTACAATTCATAACAGTAGCAAAATTACAGTTATGAAGTAGCAATGAAAATAATTTTATGATTGGGGGTCACTACAACATGAGGATCTGTATGAAGAGGTCACAGCATTAGGAAGGTTGAGAAACAGTGCTTTAAAGCGTTGTTTGTAATTGTACGGCTGTATAAACATAACTATATTGCCCTTGCATTGGAAGCCTTGAGTGCCATGTGAAATGATGTGGCGAGCTGGATTCTGCCTGCAGGCCTTGCATTTGTCATGTGAGTTCTAGAAGCACCCACATTTGGCCTTTCACTGTTCTAGATTTAGCTGACAGTAGCACCCTGTGGTTGCTTTTTGGCCAATCGCAGCTGAGGACCTTCCAAGGTCCAGCAGTTCCACAAGGCCAGACTTCCTTCTTTTTCCATTTGTTACCCTGATCCATTTCTTCTTGGACAAAATCCCTCTTCCTGGAGAGTGCACTTGCTGAATACAGAGATATTTTTTTTCTTGTCAGGAGCGACTTGAGAAACTGCAAGTTGCTTCTGGTGTGAGAGAATTGGCCATCTGCAAAGACATTGCCCAGGGGACACCCAGAAGCCTCCTCCTGTGGGAGGCTTCTTTCATGTCCTCGCATGGGAAGCTGGAGCTGACAGATGGGAGCTCACCCCACTCCCTGATCAAACCGCCGACCTTTTGGTCAGCAGTCCTGCCAACACAATGGTTTAACCCATTGCGCCACCGGGGGTCTCCTAATACAGAGAGGACAGAGGACCTTCGCTTGTACAAAGCACATGCTTCATTACACAGCCAAGGTCGGAGCTTGGAAGTCCTTTGGATTAAGTATTCTGTGCCAGTGAATGGCTGGATTTTGCATTTTTTTCTATAAATTATACAACTTTTGTGAGTACTTATTTTTACAAATTTGCTAGCCGTGGCAAGCTGGCAAACCCTTCTGGAGAGTTGTCCCAGAAGTTGTTCAGGGCACTTTAGTCCCTTCCCCTCGCAAACCTTGGCATTGACTTTTGCCCACCAATTTTCAAAGTTAAAGCAAGTAGGAATTCTCTAGTCCTTGTGGTTTCCAAAAGGACTAGCCTTGGTCTCTATGTGTGTTTTTAATTGAAGTTGGAATTCTCAGGTAACTACATTTTGAACACTCTGGATTTGTTTCTGCATTAAATACATCCTGATCTGGCTGTTCATTGCTATCTGTTCCTGCTGTTTCATTTACACAGCTTTTAAATTATGTGTGCCATTAATATAATACTTAGCCTTCACCACTAGGCTCCTTACAGCTTCTGAAACCTTTCACGGGTTGTTTACTTTTGTCAGCCAGCCCTTGCGCTGTGCTACTCTGCTGCTGAGTATGCACGCCCAGTGTGGAACACATCTCACCACACTAAAACAGTAGATGTGGCTCTTAATGAGACATGCCGCATTATCACGGGGTGTCTGCGCCCTACACCACTGGAGAAATTACACTGCTTAGCCGGTATTGCACCACCTGATATCCGCCGGGAAGTAGCAGCCAATAGTGAAAGGACCAAGGCAGAGACATCTCCAGCTCATTCTCTGTTTGGGTATCAGCCAGCACGCCAACGACTTAAATCTAGACATAGTTTTCTAAGATCTACAGAGACACTCGCTGGAACATCTCAGCAAGCGAGAGTCCAAAAGTGGCAGGCTCAAACCCAGAACCTCAACCAATGGCTGATACCAAATGAGAGACTCCCCCCTGGGTGCATAGAAGACTGGGCAACTTGAAAGGCACTGAACAGACTGCGCTCTGGCACCTCAAGATGCAGAGCCAACCTTCAGAAATGGGGCTACAAAGTGGAATCCTCGACATGCGAGTGTGGAGAGGAGCAAACCACTGAGCACCTGCTGCAATGCACCCTGAGCCCTGCCACATGCACAATGGAGGACCTCCTTGCGGCAACACCAGAAGCACTCCAAGTGGCCAGATACTGGTCAAAGGACATTTAGTCAACTACAAAAATCACAAATTTTGTATTTTGTCTGTTTGTTTGCTTTGTTCTGGTAGAATGTAATATAATTGACTGGTTGCCCTGACACGACAAACAAACAGCCAGGGAGGATTCATGGTCTCTCATACAGTAGGATGTTGGCATGAAAGTATGGCTGAACATCCCTGAAAATGGAATTTCTCTTTTAATGCAAATCAATGCTGGTCTCTGTGCGCCTCTTGGAGACCCAAACTGTTCTTGATTTAGAAATAATTAATTTTCTTACACAGTGACTTCCAAGTTTGTTGCAAGAAAGTCAAATTTTACAGAATCATGGAGATGGAGGAGATCACAAGGCCATCAAGTACAACCCGCTGCCACACAGGAATATACAACTAAAATGCCTCTTTTGTTTAAAGACCACCTAAAATTACCAAGGGTTTGGAGAACAAGCCCTATGAGGAGCGACTTAAAGAGCTGTGCATGTTTAGTCTGAAGAAGAGAAAGCTGAGAGGAGACATGATAGCTATGTATAAATACGTGAGAGGAAATCATAGAGAGGAGGGAGCAAGCTTGTTTCCTGCTGCCCTGGAGACTGGGACGGAGCAATGGGTTCAAACTACAAGAAAGGAGATTCCACCTGAACATGAGGAAGAACTTCCTGACTGTGAGAGCCGTTCAGCAGTGGAACTCTCTGCCCCAGAGTGTGGTGGAAGCTTTTAAACAGAGGCTGGATGGCCATCTGTTGGGGGTGCTTTGAATGCAATTTTCCTGCTTCTTGGCAGAGGGTTGGATTAGATGATTCTATGATTCTACAGTCCATGCAAGGCTTCTATATGACATCTGTTCATATAATTTAATTGCAAAACTTGTGTTACTCTGAACATGCTGTGTACTTTTTCTGTCTGTAGTAGATCTGATAATGGCTCATTCAAGATACATCTACACTGTAGAATTGTAGAAGTGTTGGAGCTGACTCAACACATAGAAGATGGTTTTAAAAAGCAGCAGATTACAGGAGCTGTCTTCATAGAGCAGTCAGCAATTTATGACATGGTAAATCATCGCCATCCCCTGAGAAAAAAAATATAATATCACAAAGGACGACCACCTCACCCGCCTCATAGGAAATCTGCTACAAAACAGGAGCTTTTTTGTTGAGTTCGAGGGCCAAAGAAGCAGATGGCAAAGACCTCAGGTGAGTGTGCTTGCTCCAACAGTATTTAACATTTACACTGACATGTACACAGATCAGCCACTGCCAGAAGGGACAGACAGTATCATCTATGCTGATGATCATGCCATCACCGCTCAAGCAGGGAGCATTGAAATAGTTGAACAGAAGCTCTCCAAAGCTTAAGTACTATTACTGCCATTTACAGGGAAAACCAGCTGATTCCTAATCCATCTAAAACACAGACAGGTGCTTTTCACCTTAAGAACAGACAAGCATCTCAAGCTCAGAGGATTACCTGGGAAGGAATCCCACGAGCAATTTTTCCCAGGAACTGTCCATGAAGAGCCTTCTTTCTCCAGTTTTCTCTTCTGCTCTGGATTGTGTTTTTACGGTATTCACTCTTTGTTATTTGCACTTGAAGCAGTTCACTACTATTGACTTCCCTCAATGTTGGTTCATGACTGCCTTTCACACAATCTGCCAATGCATGTTTCTCTTCTTCTACCGTTTCTTTCACTTGCAGAAGCCCTCTTTCTGCCTCCTGATTTTCTGGGCAGGTAAAGTCTGTCGACATCACTACGTGGGTGTAATGAGTAGTGGATTGTCATCAGTTTTCTTGTTTTTCTGTCCAGATCATTCAGCTCTGCTTGTGTCTAGTTCACAATCCCAGCAGTGTATCCAATGATGGGGATGGCCCAGGTGTTGATAGCCTTGATCGTATTTCCGCCATTTAATTTGCTCTTCAAAACCTTTCTGACTCTTTGGATATATTCTTTGCTGACTACATTTTTCACATGTCCATGCTTGATATTGTCCAACTGTAGTATGCCCAGATATTTATAGGCTTCAGGCTGCTTGCATTTTATGGTTTGTCCATTTGGCATCTCTATGCCCTCGCTGTGAGTAATTTTCCCTTTCTTTAATGCCACCGTGGCACATTTGTCTAGGCTGAACTCCATACTGATGTCAGTGCTGAAGATTCTGACTGTTGGTCAGTGACTGGATTTCTGTTTCTGATTTTCCATAAAGCTTTAGATCATCCATGTACAACAAGTGGGAAATTTTTGGTGAATTTCTTGCTGTTTGGTAGCCTAGGTTTGTTTTCTGTAGAATTACTGACAGTGGGATCAGTGCAATGATGAACAGCAGTGGTGACAGTGAGTCGCCCTGGAAAATTCCTCTCTTGATGTGAACAGTTCCATAGCTTTTGTTGCCCACGAACAACTCAGTTTTCCATTGTTTCATCGCATTTTCAGTGAACTTTCTAATATTTTCACAAATCCCGATGACATCTAGACATTTGATAATCCAACAATGTGGCAGTGAGTCAAATGTTTTTTTGTAATCAATCCAAGTTGTATAGAGGTTTGTTTTGCGGCTTTTGCAGTTCTCCATTATCATTTTGTCAATCAGAAGCTGATCTTTTTCGTGCCCCTACTTCTTCTTTTATTGCCTTTTTGTTCTACTGGCAAGGTATTATTTTCCTCGAGGTAATCCTGGATTTGATCAGCTATTATGCCTTTGAGCAGTTTGAACATTGTAGGCAGACATGTTATTGGCCTGTAGTTTCCTGGTGTTGTCCCTTTTGCTGGATCTTTCTGTATCAAATACGTCTTCCCAGTTGTTATCCATTTGCTGATGTTTCCAGTTTGCAGCATCTCATTGAATTGAATTATTATTGGGTTGTTGTAGGTTTCCCCGGGCTATATGGCCATGTTCTGGAGGCAATTTTTCTCCTGACGTTCCGCCTGCATCTATGGCAAGCATCCTCAGAGGTAGGAGGATGCTTGCCATAGATGCAGGCGAAACGTCAGGAGAAAGCCTCTAAAAGACAGTAACCTTATTGGGTTGTTGCAGGCAAAACGTCAGGAGAAACATTGCCTCCAGAACATGGCCATATAGCCCGGAAAAACCTACAACAACCCAGTGATTCCGGCCATGAAAGCCTTCGACAATACATTGAATTATTATTATTATTAGCTTCTTGTGGGTTTTTTCGGGCTATAGAGCCATGTTCTAGAGGCATTTCTCCTGACGTTTCACCTGCATCTATGGCAAGCATCCTCAGAGGTAGTGAGGTCTGTTGGAATTAGGACAATGGGTTTATATATCTGTGGAATGGCTGGGGTGGGGCAAGGAGCTCTTCCCTGCTGCAGTTAGGTGTGAATGTCTCAGCTGATCACCTTCATTAGCATTTGAAGGCCTGCCTGAGCCTGGGAAAATCTCTTGCTGGGAGGTGTTAATCTGTGCCTGGGACCACACCAACAACCACCATGTCAGACTACACAGAGAAGCCATTGAAATCCACAAGCATGTGGACAATTTCAACAGAAAGGAAGAGACCATGAAAATGAACAAAATCTGGCTACCAGAATTAAAAAAAACTCTAAAATTACAACAGCAAAACAACAGAGAGGAAACAACCAGGCACATCTTAACACCTCTCAACAGGGGATTTTCCCAGGCTCAGGCAGGCCTTCAAATGCTAATGAAGGTGATCAGTTGAAACATTCACACCTAACTGCAGCAGGGAAGAGCTCCTTGCCCCACCCCAGCCATTCCACAGATATATAAACCCATTGTCCTAATTCCAACAGACCTCACTACCTCTGAGGATGCTTGCCATAGATGCAGGCGAAACGTCAGGAGAAATGCCTCTAGAACATGGCCTTATAGCCCGAAAAAACCCACAAGAACCTAGTGATTCCAGCCATGAAAGCCTTGGACAACATTATTATTGTTGTTGTTGTTGTTGTTGTAGAAACGAATGTAATTCTAGGATTTGTAGTTTGGTGAGGCACCCTCCTTCTTGGACAAAGATGGCTAAAGGCCTACATCTCCCATGATTCCATATGAGCCATGACAACGTGGTGTCAAGCTGCATTCATTCCACAAAGAGAAGATGCACCAAAGAGCAGCATAGCCTTACACATGGCGTGGCTGGATTTGCTCACTAGAGGGCGCGCTTGCGTTACTCTGATTGAAACCAAGGCCGCCTCATTCCCAGCTGCAAAGGCTTGCCTTCCAAAGCGATGCCCGAGAGCATCCGACGCCTTCCTATTGGAGGAGGCGCGACCAATCGGCTGCTGACTCTTCTCGCCCGATTAGGGGGTCACATGGGCGCGCACCGCGTCGGACCGGAGTGAGAACTGCTTGTGTGCGGTCCGCAGGCGGTGCTGCTGCTGCTGCTGCTGCTTTCTTTCTTCTCTTCCTCCCAGGAAGGAAGGAAGGAAGGAAGGAACCCTTTTGGATGCTGGACTTTCTTCCAAGGCGAAAGAATAAAAGGACTGGAAGGAGGAAAGGAACCAAGCCATCTTCCTTGAAGATTTTTGGGAAAGGCTTCTTCCATCCATTGATCTATTTTGCTGCGTTGTTTGGAGAAAATGGTGCTCAGGTCGGTTTGCACATCCCTCCAAGGTAGGATCTGATCAAAACGGATCAACAAGGGATCTTTGGTGCTCGAGAAGGGATTTTTTTGGACAGATTTTCCAACAAAGGATCTCAGGATTTTGCAAAACAGTTGCATCTGAGCGAGAGAAAATTCAAGAAAGGGACTGTTGTGACTCTTTTATGTTCTTCCCATGCCCTTTTTTAAAAAAAGGAATCCATTTGGATCCACTTTTCACTAATCTCTTGCCCCAATTTCTTGGATGACTTTTCAATAGTCATCAATTAATTAATTAATTAGTCATTAAGTAATTAGTCATTAATTAATAATAATTAGTCAATTCGCCAATAATTAGTCAATTAATTAATTTGTCATTAATTAATCAATAATTGAGTAGTGGGAAGAGAAAAAAATACATGTGAGCAAGAGAAATTTTTGAAAAATAATTGCTAGCTCTTTTATTTTCTTGTCACTTTTTTATTGAATCCATTTGCATCCACCTTCCCTCATTCCCTGTCCCAAAAAGGAATCTTTTGTGACTTTTCATGCAGTGGAGGGAACCTCCTTTAACACTGCAAACAGAAAACAAACCATCTATATTTGAGCAAGAAAATCCTTAAAAGGAGGAGTGTGGTATGTCTTTTATTTTCCTCCTTTGTTGTCTTTTTATTTAACCCATTTGGATCCACCTTTCTCTCATTTCCTGCCCTCAACAAGGGATCTTTGGTGACTTTTCAGGCAGTGAAAGGAATCTCCTTGGACTTTGCAAGCAGAAAAAAGACATTTACATCTCAGCTAAGGGCCCTTCCAGACAGGCCCTATATTCCAGGATCTGATCCCAGGTTTTCTGTTTATTCTAGATTATCTGGCAGTGCGGACATCTTTTGGGGGTGCTTTGAACGCAATTGTCATCCTTTTTGGCAAGGGATTGGACTAGATGGCCCATGAGGTCTCTTCCAACTCTATGATTCTATATAATACAGATTAAAGCAGGATCAGATCCTATGATATAGGGCTTTTCTGGAAGGGCCCTAAGACATACCTTTTTATTGACTCTGTTTGGAAATCCCTTTCCCCAATTTCCTCCCTTCCTTGCACAATACAAAGTGGGGAGGATGGCTCTAGAGTACGTCAAGAACCAGAAAGGCCGAGAGGAGCTCCTCTACAAAGGATACCTGCATAAGAAACAGCGGGCAACTGCTGGCAAAATTTTATGGAAATGTGTCGACTACGCCAAGTATCAATGCAAGGGCAGAGTCTATACATGTGATGGCCAAATGATCAAGTACTTCCGGCATCGGCATCCTCCTGATGCAACCACGGAGAAAACGAAACCAAAGGCTCATAGCCCCAAACAAATGATCCCTCATGAGTCTGTGGGGAAAACTAAACAAAAAATGAGTGGCTTCAGAGAAATTACCTTGGGTGAGACCGCAAAGAAAACCAAACGAAAGGTCAGTGGTCCAAAAGAAGTGAAGGCAAGTGAGACCATGGGGAAAACTAAACGAAAGATTTTTGGCCCCCAAAAAATGATCCCCAGCCAAGAATCGGCACACAATGTCGCAGTGATGCCAACCAATGGAGAAGTGAAAGCAAGTGAGACCGTGGGGATAACTAAACGAAAGATTTTTGGCCCCAAAGAAATGATCCCCAGCCAAGAATCGGCACACAATGCCGCAGTGATGCCAACCAATGGAGAAGTGAAAGCAAGTGAGACCGTTGGGAAAACTAAACGAAAGATTATTGGCCTCAAAGAAATTATCCCCAGCCAAGAATCGGCACACAAGGCTGCAGTAATGCCAACCAATGGAGCATCACCAGAAGTCGTGGCTAACAAGAAACCCTGCATCCAAAATAATCCAAAACAGACAATCCAGCGCTTGAGAGCATGTCTGAATGCACTCCGGCAAAGCACATCCGATTTACGGACTCCTGCCTCTACTAAAAGAGCTGCCGAAGACCCAACGGCGACTCTTCCTCAAGCACCTCCAGATTGTCCAGAGAGTTCAATGGAAGGAGCCACTGAAGGGAGTTTTGAGGCCACTCCCAGTCCTCAAGAAGAAATTTCTGAGGATGCCCCTATTCCCACCAGAGAGTGCCATTCAACCCTGACTTGGGCCCATCGAGAAGCCAACCGACTGAGGTTCCGCACAAGTGCCATCCCCCCTGAACAAGCTCCCGAGGAGATCCTGTTGCATTTGAGCGACGCAGCACAGCAATGGCTGTGTCCGCAAGAGCATAGCAAGGAGTGGATTGTGGACATGGTTGTCCTGGAACGATTCCTGGATGTACTCCCAGTGGACATGCGGACGTGGGTGAGAGCCAGGGAGCCGGGCAGCAGCAAGGAAGCGGCTCAGCTGGCAGAGGCCTATTTCAGGGAGCGCCAACCAGACCACGCTATTCAGGTGCGAGGCATGGGGTGCACTAAGGGGGTAGTGAACATGTGAAAGGCAGAAGGGGAAGCTGTGATGTACTTGATGCTAAAAGGAGGCTGAGAGATCTAATATTGTTTGCTCTTGTTTACAAGTGCTTATAAGCCAACAAAGAATACAGATACCCTTGCTGTAAAGGGAAATGAATTCTGTCTCCCTGGCCAGAAATGGGTTGTGATGCTTTTCTTGATTCTAGAATATAATTCAGAAAATGTTTGTGGTGTAGTAGTACAAGCAGTGGTGACTGGTTGTTTCCATGTCATTGGTGCAATGAATGCAACATGGGTTATAGTGCAAACTAAAAAGTGATCCAAGGTGCTGAACCACTTTGTAGGGAAAGTCCAGCACCTTGTATAACTCCTTTACAGTTTGGACTTGAACCAGTGCAAATAAATAAATGTATTTATTTATTTACAGTACTTATATTCCACCCTTTTTGCCCCGAAGGGAACTCAGGGCGGGTCACAGAACACATATATGGCAAACATTCAATGCCGATTATACAATGACAAGACAGACAACAGATAGGGGTATATTTAGGCTTTTTCTCATTTGGCATCTTTTGGAGGCTGTGCTCCATTCCGGCCACAGGGGGTGCTGTTGCTCCATCTCCTTGCCGAAGAGCTTTCTTTGTTCATAAACTTTCCTCCAAACGCAGTGCCTAAAATACCCTCCCGCTTAATGCGGCTCCTATTCATCTACTCACATTGTTTTCGATCCGCTAGTTGGGCGGGGGAGCTGGGCTAAAGGGGAGGAGCTCACCCTGACCCGGCTTCAATCTGTCAACCTTTCGGTTGGTAAGATTTACTGCAGCTGCAGATTAACCTACTGTGCTAAAGCCAGCCCAAATGTATCCGTAAAATTCACTGATGTGTAAACTACCAGCTACCACTGGATATTAAATATTTGTGGACCTGTGCTGTACAAAAAGCTTTATCTAGCTTCAGATGGTTTGTATACACATGTACTGTCGATCCCTGTCTAAGAGTGCCAGCTTTTTTTTCCTGGCAGATTTCCCATGCTTTGCTTCTTTCTGCAAAATGCAGTCTGAGCTGCTCCTGTTATGCAAGCATTCTTAGGGAAGCATCAAGGGAGAAAACCTTTCCTGCCCCTCCCAGATGTCTTCTCTTTAGGGATACAAACCATTATGGTGTTGTTCTCATCTCCCCTGGATCTTGATGTCAGACTGGCTGTTAAACCAGGACATCTAGACACAGCTAATAAACCCATAATCTGGTTTAGGTTCAGTCTTAATGCTGATTCTTGACTAATACATGTGAGCACATGTGCCTTTTGTCAAATAAATATCCTCATCCATTCAGTTAACGCGAAGCCTGATGCTGACTGATGTTTTCTTTATTTGGTGTTCACACAAATGGCAAAGGAGAATCAGGGCATGCAAAATATAATAATATGAAACAGGATGAAAAAAAATGATAAGAAATTGTCTTGAAACTGAAATAAACATTATAACTGAGCAAAAAGAGGCAATAGTCACTTTGCTCTAAATCAGGCATGGGCAAACTTCAGCCTTCCAGGTGTTTTGGACTTCAACTCCCACAATTCCTAACAGCCTCAGGTTCTAGATGTTATGCTGTGTAGCAAATGACAGAAAGCATAAGTGGGGCAGTGACCCAGTTGTTTTTTTTTTTCTGTGGGCCCACTCACCCATGACAAAGCAGATAATTCTGTTGTTGGATCTGAATGTGAGATATTGAACTTACGACGTTCATCATTCCATTTAGACTAATTGGCAAGGAGCTTTTCCTAGGCAAGATGTTTTCTTTCTCTGCTTCCTGTCCCAGTTTCCCAACCAGCTGGCTTTTGTGTACAGAATGGTAATGGATATTATTTTGCTCTTTCTCTCTTGAGCCAACCTTGTCACATAAATTGGTGTTATTATTGTTAAGCATCGAAGGGACAAGCTGGGGATGGCTCATTATTTCTGTTGCCAAGTATTTGCAAAATATTAATGCAATATCCATCTGGTTGTTTCAGGACCAGATAACCTTGGGAGATGTATCTTTGAATTTCAGTACAGACGAATGGGCTTTACTAAACCATGGAGAAAAAGCTCTTTACTGGAATGTCATGCATCAGAATTATGACAATGTGACCGGCCTTGGTAAGAAAACCCTTGTGTTTGGCTCTTGGATTTTAAAATTAAAGAATGCACAACTACAGAGCAACTGTGTTGTAACAAAGAAATGAAACAGTGTTCAGACTCACATTTATGTGTGAGTGTGTGGAGAGAGATATAATTGCTTGAAGAGCAAGTACAAGGTAACATGATGCCTCTTGGATTTAATAATTTTTGAATCAGGTGTATTTTTGATCCTGTCCTCTTTCCCCATCTCTCTCTCTCTCTCTTCCCACCTGCATTTCTTTCTCTTACACACAGACACAAACACACAAAGACTGTACTCTACTCTCAGTTTTCCCTTACTCATTCTCTGTCAGAAAACTAATTTCAGGATTGCTTTTTTTTGCCTGCACTATCACTTTTACTGTTGTCCTTGGTCTCCACATCAACCCCAGCTCATGGCAACCCCATCATACAGTTTTCCTGGAAGGATTTATTCAGAGATTTACCATTGCCTTTCTCTGGTGGCACAGCGGGTTAAACTGTTGAGCTGTTAAATTTGCTGACCGAAGGTCAACGGTTCGAATCTGCGGGATGGGGTGAGCTCCTGTTGTTAACCCCAACTTCTGCCAACCTAGCAGTTCGAAAACATGCAAATGTGAGTAAATTAATAGTACCGCTCCGGTGGGAAGGTAATGGTGCTCCATGCAGTCATGCCAGCCACATGACCTTGGAGGTGTCTACATACAGTGTCAGCTCTTCGACTTAAAAATGTGGTCGGACATGACTAGACTTAATGTCAGGGGAAACCTTTACCTTTCTCTTTTAATCTGAGAAAGTGTGATCTCCCTAAATAAACCTCTTGGTGGAAAGACATCAGGAAAGGGAGCCATGGAGAAGGCTCTCTTCTGAGTCCTCATGGATTATGCCTGTGAGGGCTGTGGGACTGAGAGAAAGCCCTCCTCTCCTGCAGATCTTGCAACTCATAAGAAAATACAAACCAATCTGATGATAATTTGATAATATTTAATTTTCTGAAAACTTTGTGTAGCAGCAAAGAGGTTCTGATGCAAACATATCATTATGGCTTTAGGTAATGACTTGATTCATTCCTGTTCTTCAACAGGTGGTGGATCAAATGACCAAAATGAAGGGGTGGACGTTGGGCTGGCAATGTCTGAACCCCTGCTGGGATTGTCAGCAAAACATGGAGCATCTTCACCAAGTCCTGAACTGGATTTGATCAGGGAGAACTGTTTTGAAAGGCAACTGAAGCACAGCACAGGAAAAAAGGGAAGTTTTGTTTATTTCAGGGAAGGGTTGAAGAAACTTGTCAGAGGCAGAGTTCACCCAAATACTAAACTGTGTCCAGAGCCACAGTGTCTCAATACAGACTGTGACAAACAGGGTGAAACCACAATAGTTCTTGAAAGTCAGAAACATCTCAGTGAGGAAGACCCTCAAGTCATGACAGAATCTGAAGAGTTACATGAAACATCAGAACAGAGACATTTCCAGAACCTCCCAAATTCAGTCAATGAGGTCCAAAAGAGTAAAGAGGGGCAGCACTCAAACTGCTTGGAAATGGAAGAAGAGGAGCCTGTTGTTTTACAAAAGTGGTTGTGGGTCCCAGTTCTTCAAGATGTGAGACCAGGTGTGGAGACTCTCTTCATAGAAATTGATGGCGTAGAACAAGAAGAATCATTAACTTTTGTCAGTGATAAGGAGATCCTAGATGGGGAGCACGCTGAAGGTGTTGTTATACTCAATGAATCATTGGAAATGTCAACAGAGGAGAGTTCCCAAAGTCCAGAGCAAGACCTGCAGTCTGATGCTGCCCACATTAACTCAGAGTTGGGTAACACTGGGTTGAATATCGAAGTGGGTTTGACAAGTGAGAACCAGAGGGAAAATGGTGCCAGAAGTGAAGGATGTATAGAGAAGTCCATTATTTCTGGAAATACTACAGGGGAGTCCATTGCTGAACCAGGTCCAGAGATTCAGTGTATCGGCATCCTTGGTGGAAATCAAGATGAAACCTCAACACATGTTGATAGTCTGGAAAATAGCTGTTCAGAAGACCTGAACACATGTCTGGAGTATGAAAAGAAATCCCCCCACAATTTAGAAGAGCTTAGCTGCTCTGAGTCGGGGGAAACCTCTTCTACAAAGCACAAAAAGAACGGGGGAAAAGAAAGATGTTTTCACTGTAGAGACACACATGTTCTTGGAGCACATGCGAGAATTTGTCCAAGACAGAAACATAAACATGTGAATGGGGAAAACCAGAACTGCTGCAGACTATGTAGTTGCAAGCTTGTTGAACGAGTAAATGGAATAACGGAAACCTCACAGTGTTACCCCTTAAAACGTCATATCCAAAATGGCAATGCATGGCATCAGCCAATGGAGGCAGTGAGGATATCATCGAATGTGGAGTCTTCCTCGTCTGACCCCAAAGGACTTGAATCTCACCAGGAATCTTCATTTCTAACCAAAATAGTAGCTGAACCTTCTCTGGCCCAGCTGATGGGCATATTGCAGAGAGTGGCTGCAGACACTGCAGAAATCAAGTCTTCAGTTTCCAGCCTGCAGTGCACGGTAACTGGCATCCAGAGTGCCCTAGGGAGCCTTTCCGGATGCACCGACGAAGCTGAACACAGGATTTCCCATTTGGAGGACGCCACCCGAAACACTAAGTCTCAGCTTGTGCAGCATTGTAATGATATTAAGGCGATTGAGGCCAAATTGGGTGGGAAAACTATTCAGACCAATGTCATAGCCGGGCTGTGGTCCTCCCTGAAGATCAGTAGAGGGGCAAGTCCCCTAAATCTGTCCCCAAACACCTGAGAAGGAAGCATCCCAAATGGTTCAGAAGGAGGTCAAAGATTGCTCCTTTCAGCGGTCTAGACTAGTATGTCTCAAAGTAAGTATCCCATGGACCAGTCTCGGGCCCTCAGCCATTGGCTGCCAGTCCTTGAGAACTTCCCAGGTAAGAGAAATCATTGTAGCCTGTGAGCACAAATATGGTGCCCAGCCTCAAGTATATTGGGAAAATATACTTTCAGATGGTCTGGCATAGACAATGGCCTACATTCTGTTTTTAGTCTCAAATAGAGTAGACCCATGGAAATGATGGGAACTTAACAAACTAACAGTTGATTTGAGGGATCTGTTGGTAGTTGGGAGTAGCATCAGATGCATGCTGGTGGGTCTACTAGCTACGTAAACAGCATTCCTGTTTGACTTCTTGGAAAACATTTGCAAGTTTTCAGACTTCAGTAAACCTTGGCCTGGTGATTAGAAACAAAACAAAGGGTTGCTGTGTGCTATTTGGGTTGTATAGCCATGTTGCAGAAGTTCCAGGAGGGAATGCTTCTGGAACATGGCCATATAGCCCGGAAAACTCACAGCAACCCAGTGATTCCGGCCATGAAAGCTTTAGACAACACAAAATAAAGGGTTCTTGGATCAAGTAGCAGCACTTGGATCACCTCACTACCTCTGAGGATGCTTGCCTCTAGAACATGGCCATAATAGCCCGAAAAAACATACAACAACCCAGTGATTCTGGCCATGAAAGCCTTCGACAATACATAGCACTTGGATCCATGTTAATGGAATGGTGAATCTGTTCCAGGTTTTAGTGTGATCTTTATAAGGCTATCTGATCTGCAGAATCTCTTTGAGCAGCACCTTAGGTATCTCCTTTCAGATTTGGACTTGAACTCGAATACAAAATTCCATATAATTTTATATTCCATATAAAATCCAGATTATCTGATTTGATAATCTGGATTGTATGACAGTCCAGAAGGGGCCTATGCTGATGACCTCAAAGGTGGGACTACTGCTCTTGATACAAAGATCAAGCGATTAGCTAGTATTACTAATCCCACTGCACTACAAGCACATCAGTTCAATTTCCTGACTTCTGCTGAAGACATTGCTTTGGTTAGTAATGTAAAACGGTGCATTTCCAATTTTACACAGTCATAAGTCATTCCTTTTTATCATTGCAGAGGTCAGAATCTTCTGCCAACTTTGTGCCATGACCAAAATCCCCCAACTCCACTTTTTAGTTGGAGGACCCAGCTACCGTGTTTCCCCGAAAATAAGACATACCCATTAAATAAGCCGTAGCAGGATTTCTAAGCATTTGCACAATATAAGCCATACCCTGAAAATAAGATATAGTGATACAAGCTGATGCACAAGAGGGAGACGTAGAAAGTGAAATGCAAGAACTTTCTGCACTGGCAGCGGAGCCGAGTATAGGTCTCCCCCCCCTCTCATTTCCGGCTACTCCTTTTCCTCCTTCTTCTGTTCTTCTTCCCTTTGGGCCAGGCAAGTCAGGGCATCCGAGTGAGTGGGTGAGAGAGGAAGGGAGTCATTGGCTCCAACAGGGCCACGGTTGGTGGCACTACTTCCCTTCCCCTGGGAAGTCTCCTCAGTGAAGTGAGGAGCAGGATGCTCTGCTTTAGGTATTGTGTATCCTCAGGGTGAAGAAGTAAAGCTGTGGCTGCCATTTTACTCAGCACTACATTTGACTGAATGCAGTTGGTTATACCATCTATATAAATAAAAATGTAATGTTAGTTTGTGGGATTAACATAACTCTAAAACCACTGGACGAATTGACACCAAATTTGAACACTACACCCCTAACAGACCAACGAGTGACCATCACTCATAAACCCTGTGTGCCATCATAAACCCCTTCCAAAAAACAGTGGAGAGGACTCAAAACCCCCCCAAAAAAGCTAAATGACAATATAGCGCATGTGCAAAAATGGCATCTCCCAGCATCCCCTAGACCAGCACCTTTAGGAGAGAATGATCCAAATTCACTGCTTCCAAAATGCAAGTTTGCTTCTCCTTGGATTTCTTTGAGAGCATCCCAATCCATACATATTTCCTATTCCTGGACTGCAACTCCCAGCAATCCTCCAGATAGATAGATTAGATAGAGATAGGTAGGTACACAGATAGATCAATCAATCAGGAGGACTGCTGGGAGTTACAGACCAAGAATAGGTAGAGAAGGAAGAAAGGAGAGAAAGAAAAAAGGAGGGGAAGGAAGGAAAGAGAGAAGAAAGGAAAGAGAGAGAAAGGGAGGGAAGGCTGGCCACAGCAATGCGTGGCTGGTACAGCTAGTACTTAATAAAAATAAGCCATAGTGTTTCTTCTTGCAGAAAAAATGTCTTATTTTCAGGGAAATTCCATAGTAATTCCATAGGATGATCTCATGACGATTAAAGTGGGGTCATAGGGCTATAATCCATACCATAACGTCGTTTGAATGGATCTCAGTCACACCCAGATGCCTTTCTAATATCCCTTCCTCTCCTGCAGTCACTAAATCGGGGTTGGATGGGTGCCCTGCAGCTAAACATGTGCTGGGTGGAATGATAGCTCTGTATGTGGACCTTTTATGCAATGCAGTATACTAATGTATGTACATTAGACATGGAAGTCATGTGACCTCCGGATATTTTTGAACTGTAATCCCATCAATGCCTCACTAGCATAGCCAATAGTATTGTATTCTCCAGCATTATCTGGAGGCCTACATAATTTCCATTCTTGAAATATGTATTATTTAACTGTACAATCTCAGACTTTTATTACAAGTCTCCTTAAGAGTTGTCACAGAAGTATTTTTTATCTGGATCAATGCATTTCCCCTCTTATTTTGATGTTTATATCATTTCTCATTTATCTCATGTACTCGCCTCTTCAATGTTTTAATGGCTCTTTATTTGATGTTATTGTTTGGTACCTTGAGTCTTGAAATACAATAACAAATGAGCTCTAATAAGCTTGAAATCCGCCCATCCTTTCTCTGGCACTGACCCAAGTTACCTTTACTAGCATTTTTTCTGACATTGTATTAATTAATAGGTATCAATAAACTGTTTAATGCATTTCAATTGCAGAATTGAGTTGTGGTCATTGTCTTTGTCATGCTTTAGCCACTGGGTTTTGGAAATGAGCAAGATTGAATCTAAATCCACAGGGAAACTATAGTGGAAATACCTAAAATATTTTTTCTGGTCCTATATAAAATAGGCCCTTGGTATCAGCAGAGGTTTGATTTAATATTTCTCATGCTTTCCCAAATTGGTGAGGGCACAAGTCCAACTACAGACAATTCAGTAGTAAAATATCATGCCCTATATAAAATGGCAAAATCTGTCAGAAATATTAAAAAATAACTAGGTATTGTAATTACAAAAATGTGAGTCACACACTGGATGCTGTTTAAATGGATGCAATGACTCAGCAAATGCTGTAGTTCAATATAAGAAGGTGTGCCTGTTGCTTAGTAACGTCTCAGTTTGAGAGAGCTCTCAGTGTGAGAAGTCTGTGTGAGAGAACGTCTCAGTGGTAGTTGGCCTCACTGTGGGAGAAAGGCCTCAGAGTGTGAGGTAGGCCTCGTTATGAGAAGATCTCGTGTCTGAAATTCCAGGGTGAAGGTTGAACTTTATTTGTTTTTTTAATAGTACAACCATATTATTTTGCTTTAAAGTCTCCTATGGAAGAGATAACATTGGTTTGTGTGTTTTTGTTATTTTTATCACTTTGGGCTACTGGTGCTGAGTCACGCTGCTGCTGATAAATTACTCTGCTGTGCATTTTTGAGAAGGGACTTTTGTTAATAAGCCCACTCGCTCAACAAAATCATGGTTTGTTTTGGGAATTTTCCTAAACATATTTTTAAGCATTGGATGATTGAATTTGTGGTTGTGGGAGGCCATGCCAGAGTTCAGACGATGCCCAGCGGAAGGAATACTAGATCAGCAGACTCTGAGTTGCAAAATAAGGACTCTGCTAGCTTTGAGTTACAAAAGAAACTAAGCTTACAAAGCACATACATCAGACACGTCTTACTACAGTGAGCTACAATTCAGGAACTAGTCAAAACGAAAGTCTCTTTCACACCTGTTTATCTTTTCTTGCTGAGACTGGCTACTCCCTTCTGTTCCCAGCAAGAGCAAACCTTACCTTACTTTTCTCAAGTTCACTTAATCACAGCCTCATGGTGTAAACATTCTGCACAGCATTTCTATTTCACAGTGGCATCCATATTGGCAATACATGGAAGCACATTTAAAACACATATATAACTAAATTAATCCTGACAGGCCAACTGTATTTTGATGTTACAGCTAGCTCTGGAAGAAATCTTTCCTGGAAAATTGTGGATATTTGGGAAGACTATAGGAAACACTGAGCTCAGCTCTGGATTTGGAAGACATACAGGAGAAGAAAATGAAGTAATTGCTACACAATCAGCCATTTGCTTTGCTTATCCATTTAGACTGTGGGAATGCATAAGGTTGCTTGACTGAAAACTGGAGAGGGTTCTTGTACCTTTAATAGCTGTATAGATGAGAATAGTTTAGCAGATGTCGTAAAAGCAAACCGTGCTGAAATTTCCTTGTGTATACTACCTTGAAACCTCAGAGCACTTTAGACTAGATTTCATCTTACAACCGAATGCCTTCAGGAAAAGAGGGAGCTCAGAGTGTGGATTATCCTAAAACATTATTTCTATGTCTAAAGTACTACACAGCATTTTTCCAATCCTTTGATGCGGACCACCCCATGACTGCAGTCAAGAAATCAAAGATTTGGAAGGAGGTGCCAAGATATATCAATGAATACTAAAATCCGATAGTATATACCATGATATTTCTCATTTCTATGTATGACTGATTGGCTATGAAAGCAGGTCAGTGAAGAAAACTCATAGGAAGGAAATCATCTCATTGGAATTGTGCTGGAAAAGAGTTCGGCAAATACCATGAACTGCTAAAAAAGACAAAGAAATGGATCTAAAACCAAATCTGGCTTGATTTTTCCCAAGATGTCTAAACTGACACTGCCATACTTTGGCCTTATCATGACAAGGCATGACTCACTAGAAAAGACAATGGGGTTTGAAAAGGCAGAAGGCAATGGGAAAAGAGGAAGACTACATTCTAAATCAACGGTTCCCAACCTGTGGTAGGTGGACCACAAGTGATCTCCAAGAAAGAAAATATGGTCCGCGGCGTCACTATTACCACATCATTGCCTCGAAACCACATGGCAACGAGAACAACTGGTCTCATGAAATCTTTTTATAGTGCCGAGGCAACAGGGATGTCAGGAGGGGGAGAGGTTGACTACCCACAAAAGATTGCTACTACCACATCATCACATCTAGATTATTAAATATGGTTTTCTGTGGGTGAACAGATGGCGACTATTGGATGGCATATGTTTTGTATCAGAAACTAGAACTGATGTTGTCTATCCAAGGCAATTTTCTGAATCAGCACCCCAAATAACCAAACAGAATCTAAAGCTGATTAAAAACTGATTCGTAACCCTTTTGGTACAAATGTTTGAGAGTGGTCCCTGATCAAAAAAGGGTTGGGAAATACTGTTCTAGACGGATAGATTTGATCAAGGAAGCAATGGCCCTGAGTTCTGCAAGACCTGATCAGGACTGTTGTTGATGTCAGGATGACTTGGAGGCCTCTCATTCTTACTTTCACCTTTGGGCTGATATGGGCGGGGTAAAAATGATATAAATAAATTATAAATAAATCTAAGACAACTTGAAAGTAGTTAATAACAGCAACGAGCTGTGTAGCATGAAAGGATCTTAGGGAGAGAGAAAAACCTGGAATGTGGATACCAGAGACAGAGAATATCTTAAGCCCTTAAAGCATGCATTCCTTCATATTTTATTTCCTATATACAAATAATTAGCTGCCACTTTTTTCTTTGGAAAATAGAAATACACTTGCCACCCGCAAAATATGTTATATATGAGGGTGTATCTACACTGCAGAATTAATGCAGGTTGATACCACTTTAACTGCCATGGCTCAGTGCTATGGAACCCTGGCAGTTGTAGTTTGGTGAGATACCAGAGCTCTCTGACAAAAATGACTAAGGACCTTATAAAAATAGCCTTGAGCAACAGCAGTTTTATTTATTTATTGTATTATTAATTAACTTGATTTATACCTTCACCTTTCTCCCTGTGGGGACTCAAGGTGGCTAATAACCACACAATCCGATCACGGTTTAAAACGAAGCATATATAGAGGGAGAGCGAGAGAGAGTAAGTACTGTGTGGTTATAAAATTAAAATCCAATGAAGATGTAATAAATATAAATTAAAATCACATTTAAAATTCCCAATCCTCCCAGATGCCTGCTGGCAGAAGAAGGTCTTGACCTGCCCGTGGAAGGCCAGTAGGGATGGGGCCACCCTGGTCTCTCTTGGGAGGCAGTTCCACAGTCTAGGAGCAGCCACCAAAAAGGCCCTCTCCTGTGTTCCCATCAAGCGCACTTGAGTGGATGGTGCGACCAAGAGAAGGCCCTCTCCAGTAGATCGGAGATGTCTCCCAGGTTCATAGAAAGAGATACAGTCCTTCAGATAACCTGGACCGGAGCCATATAGGGCTTTGTATGTCAAAACCAGCACTTTGAATTGTTCCCAGAAACATGTTGGCAGTCAGTGGAGCTGATGCAACAGAGAAGTCATCCGGGCTCTCTAGCTATCTCCGGTCAGCACTCTGGCTGCTGCTCTTTGGACCAAATTAAGATTCTAAGCATTTTTCAAAGGCAGCCTCATGTAGAGCACATTACTGTAGTTCAACCAAGATGTAACCAAAGCATGTACCACCGTGGGCAGATCCAACTTCTCTAGGAACAGACACAAGTGGCCCACAAGTTTGAATTGTGCAAAAGACCTCTTGGTCACTGCTGATACCTGGGCTTCCAGGTTCAGAGCCAAATCCAGGAATACTCCCAAACTATGAACCTGCGTTTTCAGGGGGGATATGACCCCATCCAGCACAGGCTGAATCCCTATTCCCAGATCTTTCGACTGACCAAGAGCACCTCTGTGTTGTCTGAATTGAGCATCAATTTGTTTTCCCTCATCCAGTCCATTCCAGGTGCCATGTACCGATTTAGCACAAGAACCGTTTCCTTGGAATTAGTTGAAAAGGAGTGATAGAGTTGGGTGTCATCACATAGATAGCACCACACTCCAAAACTCTGGATGGCCTCTCCCAGCAGTTTCATGTATATGTTGAACAGCACAGAGCCTTGAGGGACCCCACAGGCCAATGGCCAAGGAGTTGAACAGGAGTCCCCCAGCAACACCTGAGAACGTCCCTCCAGGAAAGGATAGAGCCAGTGAAGAACAATACCTCCAAGCCCCTTCCCAGAAAGGCAACTCAGAAGAATACCATGGTTGATGGTTTCCAAATCTACTAAAGGGTCCAGGAGAACCACCATGGACGCACTCCCCTTGTCCATTTCCCTGCATAGGTCACCCACCAAGGTGACCAAAACAATCTCTGTCATATAACCAAGCCTGAAACCAGACGGAAATTGATCTGGATAATCCAGCTCATCCAGGAACACTTTGAGTTGAAAGGCCACCATACACTCCAGTACTTTGCCCAGAAATGGAAGACTGGAGAATGATTTATAGCTTCCAAGGACAATCGAGTCCAGGGAAGGTTTCTTTAGAAGAGGACTTATCACAACATCCTTGAAGTTCACGAGGACCTTGCCCTGATGCAAGGAGGCATTGATCGCTTCTCTGTCCTACTCCACCAATCCTTCTCTGGCCTGTTTTATGAGCCAGGAAGGGCAGAGGTCTAGAGAACATGTGGTTGTTCTCACCTCGCCAAGAATCCTGTCCATGTCCTCAGGCTGCACAAACTGAAAAGTATCCATCAACACTGGACAAGCAGAAGTCAAGGTTACATCTAATTGAGCTGCATCAACTGTGGCATCAAAGTCAGAGCAGATTAGGGCAATCTTACCTACAAAATGACAGGTAAGTTCTTCACAGCATGCTGTTGCATGAGTGACATTATCTTTTGGGCCAGGTTGGAATAGACCCCTAACC